TCTTGATATAATCCTCTGGAAATTCGCCACACTTGTTGCATGGATCGCTTGCTTGTTGCTGTCGAAGTTTTCCATAGTATAAATGTACCATGCATTGTTTACTCAGACACTAAAGGACAGCTGGTTGTTCCAGGCTGGAGCTATTACAAGCAAAGCCACTGCAAACATTCATACGGAAATTGTCACGTGAGCAGTTTTTATTTCTATGGATGAATGCTCAGGAGTGCAACCCATAGCCTGGACTACAGGTGTGCACCTATATAGTAAGTCAACAAGCCAGGCTCCCATCTGTAGTCTGGCACATCCCTGAACGCTCCCCACCAGTAACACACAAGCAGCTCTACGGCGGCTAGTGAGCCCGGGACTGCTTCTCAGTGCAGTCACCCAGTGTGTGTATAATGTTTTTGTGGGTCAAGTCTGCAATAAACCAAAGCTAATGATGTTGTGAAAAACAAAACATTTTGATGTGTTACTTACAATCTCGGCATCTTCCCCGTTACCACAGCTCTACTTACATACTAATCAGATTTTATACAGTCTTCGGTTCTCAGAGTTTCTTAATACTGGTATCTTGGTAGGTATGTGGTTTCCAAATATTTACCAGTGCATACCTTTAATCCAGGGCCTCTGACGTATAAATTGATTCTTGTGGAATCCAATGAGCTGCATTTCTTTCTATGAATTGTACTTCGGCACTTGTCTTCCATTTAAGACAAGTTTCAGACATTTCAAGCATTTAAGAGTTTCTGACGCCCGTCAGTCCAGGCTTACAGAGATGCATCTTACTGTGGGTTTGATTACCATATTTTAGGCATTCAACTTCATGAAAATGTACACTTACACAATATACTTATGCCTTTTGCCAAATTTTAGACATTCAGCTGTATTTCTTCAGGCAGTTTTTAGTACTTCTACTTGAAATTCAAATTTCTTAGGTGTCTAAGAGTCTATCTCTTTCATTTTTATTTTACTTGTATGGCTGTTTTGCTTGCCATCAACGCTGTGCCTGGTGCTTACAGAACCCTCAAGAGGGTGTCACATCCTCTAGAACTGGAGTTACAGATGGTTGTGAAATTTCATGTGGGCACTGAGAATTGAACCCAGGTTGTCTGGATGAACAGCCAGTGCTCTCAATCACTGAACCATGTTGCCGGCCCTTCTAATCTCATTCTAACCATGTTTTAGTTGGGTTTTTGACAACTCTTTGGCAAGGGGAAGAAGCTGTGGATGCTGTCTAATCATTTCCAGATGGAGTTAGCTCGCTCTTGCTCCGTGGCCTCTGCTGGCTCCTGGAGGAATAGGCATTTGTCAGTGCTTGGCTGTGGGCTGTGTCCATTAGTGTCCCCAGGTTGGGCCACATCAGTTCCACGACTGAGATATGTGAGGCACAGTTCCTACCTCACAGAAAAGCCATTCCCGTGCATTGGGCTGAGGTTCTGCCATCTTCTCTTCTAGTCTCTTGTGTTTTTTTCTATGTGACATTTGGAGTTCTGGCTGTACTCGGAGGAAGAATAAAGACGAGCATGTCTAGTCCACCTTAGCGGTGGACATCTGAGCAGTGCTAACACAGGTAAAGTGCGGGGCTTTCACATGGTCTCTAAGTCAGGATAAAGCACCTCAGACAGTTTCATTTCTTCTTCATATTCCCTACTTTCCAAGCTCAAGTTTAAGATTAGTTTTGAAGGTAACTGAGAACAAAATCTTTTTTTGAGTAATTAACCTCCAATGTCCATTTCTATAAATAAGTATGCTGTTACTCACAAATGTGCTAATTTATAGCTCCCCTTTTCATTTTCTATAAGCCTTATATTGAGCGTTTAAAAAAGGGACATGAACTACTTTAAACATGAATCTGAAGCCCCATTCATAAGGTATGCAGGATGAAAAATGACCCAGGAAATGGGAACATGCAAATCAGGTTTGGATTTGCTGGCCAATCAAACAGCCCCAATGTCTGCATAGCATGGAGGTGCTTAATCACATGGCTTCTGCCACCTTCCACTCCATCCTGCTTCCAGACAGACAGACAGACAGACACAGACACACACACACGAGAGAGAGAGAGAGAGAGAGAGAGAGAGAGAGAGAGAGAGAGAGAGAGAGAAAGAGAAAGGGGGAGGGAGAGAACTGTTCAATACTTATATTGTTCAATGCTTATATTTTGTGGCACAGTAAGAGACTAACTATAGAACTGAGGATTAAACAGGACCCGTCAGAGACTACCTTAGAAGAACTCTGTGGTAACACTCGGATGGTACACATTTTAAAGCGTATGCACTGAAGCTCTGAGTTCCCACTTAGTTTTGGGCCACAGCTGCCTGGGTACTGGAGCTGGAGAGTAAACCGAGGATGGAGGCTGGGGTGGAGCCACTGCAGATGCTCATTAAAACTAAGATCTGATGTGCAGAGCAGCCTGGAAGGAAGGACGGCGAGTCTCTTAGACACGAAAGGGTTCAGGGTCGGTTCCTACCTTTAACTTCCTCACCCTGGTCTCCCACATTTTAAATTTCTTGTTAAAACTCCAGCACACACCCTGCCCTTTGGCCACTCTTCTGCTGGAAGGGAAGTGAACTGTGCTTCCCAACAGTGGCTACTCAATTGGCCACCTTTCCCGGTGGATTTCAGTGGTATTTGTGTGATGTCATCATGGTGTTCTGCAAAAATGAGGGAGGCCTCTCTGTTCCTTCCCAGGGTGAAACTACCTTTTTATCGAAGTCACGGTCCCACATGTCATTAATAGTACAGCCTGCTCCACGCATCAGAATAGCTCCAGTGCCAAAAAGTGATAACATGTACCAGTCTGGAAAACAACCTGGGTCAGCAGCCAGCCCAATGCTCCAAGTGCATGGCAAATACAGCAGCCAGGTTCCTAAACAAAACCAAAACCACACATAAAAAAGGAACAAATGTAAGTCAGGTAACTGCTCCATCTGCTTAGTCACTGTCTTGCCTTCTGCTGCTGCGACAGACCCCATGGCGTGAGGAAGAAGGGTTGATTTGATGTGTACATCCCCATCAGTCCATCAGAAAAGGAGCCTGGAGGTAGGAGCGGATGCTTACCGCCTCACTTAGCCTGTTTTCTCTCCCACCCAGGACCATCTGACCAGGGTGGCACTGTCCCCAGTGGGCTAGGCCCCTACACATCATTAATTAAGTAAATGCCTTAGGTATAATTGAAGACATTTTCTTAATTGAGGCTGCCTCTTCTCAGAAGACTATAGCTGTGTCAAGTTGACAAAACCAACCAACCCCCCCACCCCCAGCCATCCCCAGTTGTGGATGAGTCTGGTGCTGTTTGTATTTTAATGCTAATTCCACTCTCCTGGGAGGGGCTGTGGACAAGGAGTGAGCCCTGTACTCAGGTGACTTCTTGTGAACCAATCCCCTAATGAATAAAGGAGCCAATCACTGGGCGAGTAGGAGGGACTTCCGGGTTGGATGGAAGGAGACAGGAAGCAGGAGAGAGTTAGCGGCTTTTGGATCAGGGATAGCTTAAGGGCAAGATGCAACTGCTAGTCTCTCCCAGGTTCATGTAGATCCCGCCAAGGGAATTTAGCGAGTTGTGTGGAGAAGTCAGGGGACCCCAGGCTAGAGAGTCTGCTGAGATGAGAACACCCTGCTGGGGCCATGTGGCCCGCCAGCGCTGGGCACAGTGTGGGAACTTGCCATTCTTTTTTAATATCCCACCCCCACTCCCACCCCAAATTCCTAACACTCAGTACAATCACTACATCTCAAAGTGCATAGGCACAGTGACAGGCCACTGCTGGAACCACAGCACTGGGGACTCCTGTAGTGGCATATGCCTTTAACTACCAGAATTTCTTTAACCTCACTCAGGCGTCAGGCAGATTGCTTGGCCTCATATCAAGTTACAGGTCAGCAAGGGCTACATAGTGAGACTTTCTCAGGAGCTCAAAGGCTGGTCTGGTCTGGTCTGCATAGGCTAAAGACCTGTCTAAAACAAAACAAAATAGCAACTTCCCTAGCAAAACCTGACAAAACTGGGGGAATAAGGCAGGTATGGTGTTGGTCATCTATACTCTCAGCACCTAAGAGGCAAAGGCAGGAGGCTCAGGGTGAAGGCCAGGTCTGCGACCAGGTCCTAGGCTAATCAGAGATACACAGTGAGGCACTGTCACAGATGCAAAATAAAGCCAATCAACAACAACAAGACCCATCAAATCAAGGGAAAACAAATCTATAACCATATAGCAAATAAGAATTTACCCTAGGGACTGGAGAGATGGCTCAGCAGTTAAGAGTGCTGTCTGCTCTTCCAGAGGTCCTGATTTCAATTCCCAGCAACCACATGGTAGCTCACAACCATCTGATGTCATCTTCTGGTGTGTCTGAAGACATCTACAGTGTACTCATATAAATACAATAAACAAAATCTTGAACAATGACAACAAAAACCCGAAAAACAAAAAGAATTTATCCTAGCACACAAAAAGTGCCTAGAGACGGAGAAAGAAGTAGTACAATTAAGAAATGGACAAAAGGCCAGGTGGTGGTGGTGCACGCCTTTAATCCCAGCACTTGGGAGGCAGAGGCAGGCGGATTTCTGAGTTCAAGAGTTCAAGGCTAGCCTGGTCTACAGAGTGAGTTCCAGGACAGCCAGGACTACACAGAGAAAGTGGACAAAAGAAGCTGGAGAGATGGATCAGTGGTTAAGAGCTCTGACTGCACTTCCAGAGGTCCTGAGTTCAATTCCCAGCAACCACATGGTGGCTCACAACTATCTATAATGGGATCTGATGCCCTCTTCTGGTGTGTCTAAAGACAGCTACGGTGTACTCTTATACATAAGATAAATAATTCCTTTTTTAAAATCACCAAGAGCTGGGGACGTGTAGCTCTGTGACAGTATTTGCCTAACATGACTCAGGGCTCTGGATTTAATCTTGGGCATTGGAAGGAGGTAGAAGACAAGGAATAAAGATCAATTCTTACACAAAATGGTCAAATTGAAGTGTCTATAATGTGTAAGTAGCTTGTAAAGCAGAAAAGCAAGGGCCCGAGGGTAAAATCCTTAAGAGGTGTCCAGCTCAGTGCCTGAGCCCAGGCTGCTGTGGGCAGACACACACTTAGAAACCTTATCTAAACCTTGAACAACACGTAACATTTACTGGATGCCCAGGAAGCATTGGGCAGCACTGTAAACATTTTATATGTATAAACAATGCTCACCATGCCCTAGCGGAAGTATCATTAGTAACCCCACCTCACAAATGGAGGAGCACAAAGTGAGACACAGAACAGCTGTTCTTTTTAAAGAGCAGGAGCAAAGCCCACACTGGACAAGAGGAAAACTACTTCATCAGCATTTGCTTGGTGCAGCTAGAACTGAAGTCTCCACTAACAGTCCTAGGCTACATGATACCTAGTGCACAGTGCAGCAAGGCTTTCCTTGGCGACAAGTCCGTATTACAAAATGTATGTGCTCACTCACTGATGGGAGCCAGCGGACCAGCACTTGGGAGGGGGCAAATACTAGACACTAAAGAGGCTGAAGGCAGAAGTCTCAATTTCATCTGCAAACAGGGAAAATGAACATCTACCTCACTGAGCTTCAATGAGATGAAGTATTACAGAGGACAGCTCTGAAAACAAGACTTGGGGCTTACGTGAGCTACAGGCACTCTACCACAGAACTATATCATGAGTCTACAGCTGGAAAGGATTAATCAGCCTATATTAACATATATAGCATACATGACTGCAGGCATAGTTTTCTCTAACTCTTGAAGTAATATTATTATTTTTTGAGCCCCTGTTATAGGAAGATACTGCTCAAAGCATGGACTATGTGTTCATAAATTCCTAGTACACAATAGTTCCAGGAAACACTGCAGGTTGTCACAGTAGACAGTAAGGCAAGAGTTCTTTCCGTCACACTAACTTTAGCTGAGAAAGAAAGAGAAAGGTAACAAATGAAGATACGGAGAAGTGGAGGCATGAGTTTTCCAAAGCCACAGTCTTAAGACACAATTCTACACCAGCAGTCTGGCAGAACCTTAAGTCAAAAATTCCTTCTCATACCTAAGTCCCAACCCCACAAAAACCTTACTTCTGTCCCCACTGATTGCCAAGGGCACTCTTCTCTGTCTTCCCTGTGACACTGTCATTCCTTACAGTTATTCTGTGAAGAAAGGTGCAGAGATAGTGAGAAAAGCCAAACAGGTTGTAGACAGACATGTTTATTATAAACTGGAAAGAGTCTCTGGGAGAAGAAATGAAATGGTCAGATTCTGAATGGGATGGCAGAGCAAAATGCCTGTGTAGATTGAGCTTATGATTCTCTAATGATATTTCCCTTAAGACAACCTAACTGCAGTGGAAAACACACTGCCAACCTGGTGGAAAGAGCGCCACCTGCCGAAACTTCCTGAAATGACATCAGTCGACTGACCAGTGATGTAGCCCAGTGGTATATCACTTAACTAGTATATAGAAGGCTCTTTGAGTGCCACTCTGAGAAACAAGAAAGCTTCATTACTGCCTTCTAAAACCAATGATTGACACTGCTCTATGAAAGTAATCAGATACAATATTAATACAGTAAAACAATAACTGTATCACTGTCTTACAAAACAGGCATATATTAAACCGTGATTTCTACTGCCAATTTCTGCTCCTGATACATGGTAGGGGCCCCGAACCATTCACTGAATGAATTTTACCCTGTAATCGTCTTATTTAGAATCAAAACATGCAGGCCAGTATCTTAAGGTACTCAACACAAATAACTACAAAGATAAGTTTCTCTAATCTTCCTTTTGAAGTGATAGTGACTAACACCTTTGGAGCCCTTATGTGTAGGCAGGCACTAGTCAAAGTATTTACCATGTGAAGATGGACTTTAAGGCTAACTTTATAAAGTCAACATTAGCACTTTCCTTTTATAGAGAAAGAAATGAAGGTGCAGAGACATGAAGTACTTTAACCACAGTTCACCCACTGGACGGAGCTCAAGGGGCAAATCCATGAGGTTGGCTCCTAACTACTTTGTAGAGTCCTGTTACATGGCAGGATGAGCAGCCACTAGATTAATGACGTTTAACTGTGAAAACACAAACAACGGCAGTTGTCCATCTGTCCTACGTGCCTGCAAGTTTCTCTGGCAGCTTTGTCACCCAGAATCTACGAACAGAATTAGGAAGTGCTTGTGTAAACCCTGAATTACATAACACTCTAATGATGGCAGGTCTGGCTTTCATTTAATAGGCTTCTATACTCTACAATGTCTCCTTGCTGTGATTCGGTGCTTAAATCCCACACAGGGAACATTCACATCTAGAATATCAACAGTGACACCTGGCTGCTGCCACTCCACCCCCTTTGTCACCTGGACTTTTAGGCAAACTCTGGAGTTTGTGGCCAACCTGCAGTACAAAGCAAGCCCTTGTCTCACACAAAATAAAACAGGTTCAGCCAGGTATGGAGGCGAGTGCCTGCAGTCCTAGCATTTGGGAAATGGAGGCAGGACCCTGTTCAAGGTCGGCCAAAGACAGAATGGGACCCTGTCTGAAAACAAACCAGACCCAAATGGGGCCATGTTGGGGGTCCTGGGTAGGTAAAGGCAGAACAAACAAGTCTGGCATTTGGATGTACTTCCATACACGGAAACTGTACATATCAACATCTAAACTAGCTAGAATTCAGTTGTTCCCTCTTCCTCTGTTGCCCACCTTCCTCTGTGCACCCTTGTCTCCCACTATTTCCTCATTTTCCCAGGGTTGCAGGTCCAGCTCCTATTCTTAATGTTCCAGCACTAAGTGTGTTTCTTTGGTTATTTATTTCGGAATATATAGCCTAGACTGGCCTGAAACTTGAATCAGTCCTTCCGCCTCGGCCTCTTGAACGCTGGACTATAGATGTGAGCCACCATATTTGGCTATCCTTGGATTTTGAAAATATTTCTCCAAGATCTCTCTACTCCTCTGTAATATAGCATTCCCTTTGGAGTACTATTTCTTCAGTTTTTTGAGCATTGGAGACCCACAGTAAGTTCGTTTTTCCTGTGCATGACCTAGACCTCTGATACTTGTTTCCATACTTTCCTAGGTCATCAACCGTCGTTTCCAACCAGAGACAAATTCTTTCAAAGCTGGTAGTTTCCCTAGCTCTTTCTGTCACTAAGACCAGGTGAATTCATCTACTACTTTGGGCAGTATTTTACGAACTAGACAGAAGTGGTCCGTGCAGACGGGGCTTATATTGTGTCACAGGTGTCAATAGTGTGTGTTTGAGCACTTTGATGAAAAGGACATAAAGAGAAAAAGAAGACGGTCACAGAGAGAGGATTGTGTGAGTTTAAGTTGACGACAATCCGGAAGCATGATTCCCGGCTGTGTTTAGGTGCTTTAAATCTTTATAACTGGTGATGACAGAAAAAAGCTCAGTACCAACACTACTGGGTCCTTCTTAATTTCAATAGTCTTACTTACATGCCTCTTGGGCTTTACATAATTGGAGGCAGAATCGAAAACTAATGAATGCAGAAATGCTTCATAACTGCAAATCACCAATCAAAACCTTCGAGAAAGCAAAGGAGCACCGGACCACATCTGAATGGTCTCTGGGAATATGTGTTTATCAATGCCCGCCTCCGGGTTTCGGGGCTCAGAGCCGGGGGGTGGGGTGGGGTGAAACCTGCGTGTCCCTGTCTAAGGTCCTGACCGAGTCCCGAGGTGACTGGTCCCATGGGTGCGTCACGCCGGCAGCGGAGCCGCGGTTCCCGGGCTCTCGATTGCAGGACCGGGGCGCGCAGCCGCGGACATGCTCGCCAGGCAGACGATCGCGCAGCCCAGCCCGCCCCACTCACCGATGGGCTTGTCCAGGCGCATGAGTCGCAGGTAGGGCTGCAGCGGGCGGGGCGCCGAGTTCACCACGGCCGCGGCCGACAGGCTGAGAGTTCGCCCGCGCTGCGTCCCGGGGGCAGGGGCTCGCCGTTCCCGCGCTCCCGAAGCCCCTGCGGTGCGCACCAGGGCCAGCGGGAGTCCGCGCGGACCGGGCAGCCATGCGGACCGTACGGCCCGCAGGCCCCGCGCTAGCCCGGCGCCTCCAAAGCGCAGCATGGCGCTGAGGCTGAACGCCGATTGGTGACGTCATCCAGGGCGACAGGCCGAGGGCGGGCATGCGCAGTGGTGTTGTGTTAGGTAGGTGGGCAGGAGTTCCTCTGTGTGTGTGTGTGTATGTGTGTGTGTGTGTGTGTGTGTCTGTCTGTCTGTCTGTCTGTCTGTCTGTCTGTCTGTCTATGTTAGGTTGTCTGTGTGTGTATATATGTACATATGTACATATATATGTTTATATATGTTTGTGTGTAATAAAAACAATATGGTTGTGTGTAATAAAGAAAAACAAAACAACCAACTTTATGGCATCCTTATTAATGTAGTCGGCCCTTGCACATTTCCAGGTACCTGGTGTGTGTTATTCTACCTTAACCCCTTCACTGACTGGCCCTGGACAAGTCGTTTATCTGAATTTTAGTGTTTTGAGATGGTGGTGTATCCTTTTCGGTGCCCATCCTTATAGCCTGTGCAATGAGTTCTATGTTACCTATGTGACAACAAGTTGCTGGTCTGACGCTTGAGAAAGATGCAGCAGGGGGCGCGCTGGCGTTTGTCTGCAGTCTGGGAAGTGCTGCCGGTCCTTTGATCTTTTAGCTCCATCTGATGCTTGCCAGTTGAGCTCTGAATTCTCTACAGGTTTGCAGCCTTTGACTCTCCTTTCTTTTCCAAAAAGTAGCCTCCACGCTGTTTATTCTCAAGCACCCTTTCAGGGAGCAGAGGTACCGCCATGCCAAACAGGAGGCTCTTTCACATTTGCACGCTATTTCTAATTGCCCGGAGTATCCATTGCAATATTTAAAATGCAAAAATCATTGCAAATGCTTTCCATTTTAGAGGGACAGGATGATAAAGCTATTTTTAAAAATTTGCTTGATTTTTTTATTTGAAAATTGTATTTTAAAGTCTATGAACTTTTTGACTCTCAAACTCATTTCATCTTGTCCCCCAGTGGTGGTATAACATTATAAAAGGCAGAAAATTAAAAACTAGACTGTGTTCAAAGAGTAGTTATTAGCCTGAAGCAGGAGCTCAGGAGTAACCCGCGGCTCTCTGCCCTGTTCTGTTAACCCTGCAGAGGGCTTAATAGCAACCTTTTGCTTTCGTAACATGTTCATGGCCTTCTGTGGGACACACAAACATATACTAAATAGCTAAATACATGGAATAAATGTTTGTTTGGTTTTTAGGAAGAAAGTAAAAATAGTTTCAAACTCATATGCCCTGAGAAGTTCTATCTCTGGACTTGGAAACTATTCTTTTTGTGGAGAGGTTGTGAACCACAAGGGTAAAATAAATAATGAAAATTGTTGGAGCAATAAGATAAGGTGCAGATTAAAAGCTAGCAGGCATGTGAGCTTAAAAGTCTCACTAACAAGGCAGACAAGCATTTTCCCTAAAGAAGCTTAAGAAAACTTCAATGTTATTACATTTAACATTCAGTCATGTAACTGAGCACTGGTCTTCACGCGGCCATGTCTTTTTCATATAACTACCCGCTATTAGTAGTAGCTTACCAGCAATTTGTATTTCATATGCTTCTTATTTCAAAGCCTCTGAACTAGCTACTTTGACCTTTTCTTTCTTTCTTTCTTTCTCTCTTTCTTTCTTTCTTTCTTTCTTTCTTTCTTTCTTTCTTTCCTTCTTTCTTCCTTCCTTCCTTCCTTTCTTTCTTTCTTTCTTTCTTTCTTTCTTTCTTTCTTTCTTTCTGTCTCTCTCCTCCCTCCCTCCCTTTTCCTTCCTTCCTTTCTTCCTTCCTTCCTTCCTTCCTTCCTTCCTTCCTTCCTTCCTTCCTTCCTTCCTTCCTACTTTTGAGGCTGGGTTGGGCTTTGTAGCTATGATTGGCCAGGAACTCTCTATGTAGACCAGGCTGACCTCAAACTCACAAGAGATCTGCCTATTCTGCCTCCCCAAGTGCTGTGATTAAAAAAAGGCATGTGTCACCATGCCCTGCTGCCTCAATAATTTAAAAAACTATTTACATCTGGGTGTAGTGATGCATGCGTGTGTGTCCACGTGTGTATGCATGTGTCCACATATGTGTGTGAGTGTGCATGTGTCCATGCGTGTGAGTGTGTGTGTTTGTCCAGATATGTGAGTGTGTGTCCACGTGTGTGTGAAGTCAAATATGTGGATCCCAAGGATTGAACCCAGATTGTCAAGTCTCTTGGCAAACACCTAATGAACAATTTCTAACTAAAATAGCTAAGTAAATTTATAAATATTTTAAAATAGATAACATATATCAACACAAAACCACACACTTCTCACTTCACAGGGAATATGAGTTTATTCTGAGCAAGGCGAGTGTCCATGGCTCAAGAACATGATTTCAGATTACCCCAAACCATGTTCCAACATAGAAGTAATAATACACACCAAGAGGGCGGAGTAAATCCCATGGTGTTTAGTTTGGGGTCGGTAGATTAAGTGAACACATTAGAAGGTGTCCTGTGATTTCTGGAAGGATGTCAGTTCAGAGACAGGGCTTATCAATGGATGATTAGTAAGGGAACTAAAGATAGTCCAAGGGAATTTGGTTCTGGATCCATAGCATTCTGATTCTACACAATCATAAAGTTCTAAGTTTTAAGCTGGGAAGAATCTACAACATAGTTCTAGCGTGTTTTTTTTTTAAATAAATACTTAAATTTACACAGGCAATACCTTCTCAGATTTCAAATATAAATTCTTTGAATATTCGAAATCAAAATACCTCAATCTGTTTTTGTTTCTTATTTGTGTGTGTGGTAGGGGAGGTACACATGCCACCCTACATGTGCAGAGGTCAGTTCTTTATGGGGTCAGTTCTCTCCACAAAATGTTACGTGGGTTCCAGGGATGGAACTTAGGTGGTCTGTACTTAATTTTTGTAAGCTATTTTATGCCATTAGAAAGACATTTATAATGGTATGATGATCACAAGAAATACAAAAATGATGAAGATTCTGTGTCCACTTGTGTCACGTGAGGTGAGATGAAAATGGCTGAAATAGCTTGTGAGTGTCAGGGAAGGGTCAGCGGAGAGAGTCAAATAAGACACTCGGGTGCTAGAGGAGGTGTTGAAGTTAAGGTCTGAATGGACCTTCACAAACAAAGACATTTGTCACCTAGAAAGGACACACACAAGCACAGGAAGGAAACAAGGCTGCTCAGATCTCCTTGTGTGCAGATGAAGTGTCTAAGGTTAGGGCCAATGAAAGGCAGGTGCCAGTTACCAAAGGACCTTATGGGCCTGTAAGGGATGGGAAGCCACTTAGGTAGTTCTAGCACTGCAGGGAGAATGGGTGGCCCAGTGGTTAAGGGCTCTTGCAGAAGACCCGGGTTCAGTTCCCAGCATGGGTCACAATCATTTGTAACTCTGAATCCAAGGAAATGTGATGCTTTTCCCCTCCGAGGGCTCGTGCATCCGTGTGTACCCACATGTGCCAGCCCGTACCCCCAGTTAAAATAACAAAAAATAAATCTTGAAAGGGTCTGAGGCAAAGTCAGGGTGAATGAACAACTTAGATGTTGCTATAGTCACACGAGTGAGAAATTAGGCATTGATGACTCAGTGGATGAGGGTCAAGGAAGATAGGTAAGTCAAGATTTTGTGACTGAAGTGGGAAATTATGTTTATGCCTGATTGTTCCTTTTCTGTAGACTCAAGTACTTTAATGTTGGGAAGGAAACACAAATCCAGGTAGGAGGTATACAGAAAATGGTGAAGGAACAAGAAACTTCATTCATTCATTCCATCATTCATTCATTCATTCTGAAGTCGTGAGGATCAAACCCAGGCCTCTTGTCTGTGCTAGAATAACATTTTTCCAGTGAGCCACAGCTCCAACCCATCAAAATCAGACTTTCAAATGTAAGATCCTGTAAACTTTAGATCTAGTAGAAGAATAATCATGCAAGTTAAGGCTATAAAATTAGTTTATTTCAAATGTGGAAATAGAAAAACTTATTTGCATAAAATTGAGAGTACTGAAGCATACAAACTTTAGGTTCTAGCTTCATCAACATACTAGATTCAATTGAGATGACACTCATAGCAGGCACAAACATATAGAATTGCAGTCCTTAAGAGGATTAAAATCCTAGGGGGGGAATTACATTTTTTTATTTAATCGAAACCACAGATCAAAAGCAAATGTCTAGTGCTGTGGACTCCACCAAACCTCTCTGCCCGAAGGGAGTATTGCTTGAAGACAGTCACAGGCATTGCTGCTCATGGACAGTGATAGAAATGACCACAGACCTATCCGTGGCCAGGGAGACTTGAGGAGACTCGAGGAAAGGCTTGCCGGGAGAACCTCCAAGAAAGAGCTCTTCAGGTCTGTGAGGAACACTCATCTTCTTCCTCTGGTTACTGCCAGGTCTCAATGAATCTATAGACAAGTTGCAGCTATCATGTGACCAGGCCAAGCAGGGAGCCAGTACCACAGACATCAGGACAGAGAGGGAGAAAGATTGGACCGTACCTCACTTCAACAATTTCTTATGTAGGCTTATAAATCTCCTCATTTAGAGGTTTCTGTTCTTAATAGGCCAGAGCTTTCCAAGCAAAGCAACAACTACTGGTGTAGAAAAAGTAAACACCAATGGAGGACGACGTCAGGTGTTTCTGGAAACTTCTCCCAATCAGCCAACTGGCTCCTTTACAGCCATTTCCAAACCGTCTGCATCCCTTCCCTCACAGCTGTGACTGGTCTTTTGTTTGTCTTTGTTTAATACCGCTCTACCAAGCCACCTGTCCTTTCCCAGACTCATGAAGAACAAGGAGAAGAGGCACAGGGGCCATTTCTCTGTTTTAGTTCCTCTAAGAATGTGAGCAGGTGTCCTTCTACAGCCAGTGTGGCTTTATGGCAATGTGCCTTCCCCCACTGGAGCTACAGAGAGGCTCCTAAAGGTCGTATTTGACAATTATTGGAGGCATTCCTATACGTTTTTAATAACCCCCCCAAAATAGTGCATGCAAAGTGCTAAGTGTCATTTGTCATTAACTCTCACCACCTGCAGTGGTCTACTTAGAGGAGAACACCACACTGGATGTACCGCTGAAGCGTGCCCCGCCTTTTCAAGGCTCCGATCTAGCACTGAAGCCTTCCCCGCCCTCCAGAGGCTCTGGAAGTTGACCAGGAGTCAGCCTCCTACAGCTGGGGTTCTGGTTTACTCTTATGAATGACAGCCCTGACCGCTTTCGTCCCGGGGTACTGCATGCCTTTTATTTTCATACACAAGCAGCGATTTTGGCATTTCTTATGACAAAGAACCCATAGGAAAAGGCAGGCACGCTTAGTGAGCTTCCCGCGGGGAGAGGCTTTTCTGTTAGAGCTGGCAGGGTCTGCTCATCCACCATCTTCAGGGTTTGACCGTTCAGTTGCACAGATCTACAGGAAGGAAAGACACACTTGAGTTAGGCAGTTTGCACAAGCACCATGGCCTCTACAAAACCTGTGGAATCACTTTAGGTCATCAAGGGGGCTTGTGGCAGTCTGAATTATATAATTTGTGTTTCAATGAGAGGTGAGCGTAGGTGTTTGGCAGAGATAAACTTAAAACTGCAGTGGGAGAGAACGTAACTGGACTAGCCTAGAGCATGTGGCCTTTTACAGAAACACGCACAGATCAGGTACCTATTTCATCCTGTTGTCTGAAACAGCATCACACACTGTAGCTCAGGCTGGAACTTACTATGTAACCCAGACTAGCCTCAGACTCCTAGCAGTCTTCCTACCTCCACTATACTCAGGGACTTCATCTTTTTCTTAAATTTTTTTGTTATTGTTAAAAACTGACAAGATGAGTTATTTTTATGCCATCTATGGAATGCATTTGACACATGTGTAACACCCATCATGATGCCTGCATGCAATAAGCATTGTGAAAAAAATATATAAATTATATAATAACTATGATATAAGCAGAGCTTATATATATTATATGAGCAGAGCTGACCACTTTTCATACAAATGAGCGTACCAGGCCAGGCCTGTGATCCTAGCTCTCAGGAGGTGGGGTCAGGAGTTCAAAGTCAGCTCTGAATACACAGCATACTCATGAGTTCAGGAGACTCCATCGCAAAAAACCCCAACACAAAACTAAACCTACCAGAAGTAATCTATTACCCCATTCTCCTTGTAACATCTTGGCAGATTTATTCCATCTTTCTATGCATATAAACACATTTGACTTGAACAAAAATGGGTGTGCTGTGCATATTTTCTTAAAACTGTTTTTCATTTACTACAACCAAATGTTGACTTATATCCTACAGCATTCACCCACCACACACAGGACACACAGGAGTCAGTGAGTTCATTAGTGCATTTACTTAATCCATGTATCCTGTGTTTTTCTTTCTTTCTTTTCCACAGGGTCTCTCTTTGTAGCCCTAGATGGTCTGGAACTCACTATGTAGCCTAGGCTGGCTCCTAACCTATGGGCCAACCTCCTCCTGTCTCTGCCCCTCAGGCGCTGGAATTATAGGTACACTATCATGCCTCGATTGAATTGTTTGCTTTTAAAGCCTTTTCATCTCTTGTCTCAGATGGAGTCTCATGACTATGTAGCTCTGGCTGTCCTAGAATTCATTTTGTAGATGAGACTGGCTTTGAACTCACAGAGATCTGCCTCTCTGCCTCCTGAGTGGTGGGATTAAAGGTGTACATCAACGGTGTCCTGGTACACCTCCATTCTCACTAGGATCCGTGAGTAGAAACCAGCTTCCATCTTTGTTAACCTTTGTTAGATGCGCAACTCTGAGCCCCACAACTCAAGACCTATGAATAACATGGCTTGATTGTGCCGGGGCTACCAAATCTACAGTGAGGTCTGTCGGCCGTGGCTTTGTTTTCACACTTACGCATCACATCGAATTTTAGATGAGGATGGGGAGGAAATATGACCAGCTTCAGGAAACCACAAGCAAAAATAGGTCTTGAAAAGTATCTCTGAATGGTTGTAATAAGACTGGTTAGCATGAATCGAAGGACCATTTGACAATGCCTACTAAAGTCCCAGGGTCGATTTTAGTGCTTCAGTACCTCAGCTTGAAGGCAAATCTGATCACTGTGAATTAATAGTGCTGTGTAAGACAGAAGGACAACAAGGTCCTATCTGCTCAGGCCTCGGCATTTAATCAGCTGCACTTACAAATGTGCTCTAAGGATGTGCGTTTACGCTGTTTAGCATTGAGGATGGGGTTTCTCTGAGGGAAGTAACTTTTTTAAAATAAATATTTATTTATTCATTTAATGTATATGAGTACACTGTCGCTGTCTTCAGACACACCAGAAGAGGGCATCAAATCCCATTACAGATGGTTGTGAGCCACCATGTGGTTGCTGGGAATTGGACTCAGAACCTCTGAAAGAACAGTGCTCTTAACCACCGAGCCATCTCTCCAGCCCCGGGAAGTAACTTCTTGTGCGTTTTGAAGACAGAAACCAGAAGGTGAAGAGAAAAGTCTGTTAAGCTGCAGGTGAGATGCAGGTTCACTGAATTAGTCATCAACAGGTTTGGCAGAGCAGAAGGCCCTGGGAAACTTGCTGCTGGGCCTACCAGTCTGGATCTGATTTCCCAGAACCATATAAGGTACAAGCACAGAACTGACCTCCATATGCTATCCTTTGACCCTGCACTCAGGAATGAACACACAAAATGTAGTTAGAAACAATTTAAGTGGTTTATCTAGAAGCATATTTATGGTCGTTTTTTTCTTACTTTAGTCAAAAAAGAAAAAAGAAAGAAAGAAGGAAAGAGAGAGAGAGAGAGAGAGAGAGAGAGAGAGAGAGAGAGAGAGAGAGAGAGAGGAGCTACTTGAGTGTTACAGGAGAATCCGACCCAGCCCTGTGTGTGGTGTTTTGTTCCACCCACAAGCCCTTATTAGGTCAGATTTGTGGTTTAGCATTTGTGGCTAGCCATCACCAAGAGAAGTATCTTTTCAGAACAAATAATCTAAATTTGGAAGGTATTCTGCACACCATAAACATCAAGCCAGCCACAAGCCCTTTATTTACAAGGGTGTGCTGCCTACAATATACGTTAAGGTCATGGTGGCATAAAGCCCGTGGGAGTAACCAGCCAATAACCGATCTGACTTAAGGCTCACTCCAGGAGATGGAGCCCACGCCTGACACTGTACTGGTGACCAGGAGCCTGAGACTAGATAGTTCAGGGACCTAGGGTAAAGCCAAATGATACTGATCTAAAACAAACAAACAAAAATGCAGTGATCATACAATTCAGTGACATTCTGCTACATTTATAGTTCAGTGTCATGTTTGGCCATCATCAGAGAAGCTTCCTCCTGCAGCAGATGGGAACATGTACAGAGCCCCACAGCCAGACAGTGTGTGAGAGTGAGAGACCTTGGAACTCCCAGCCCTAAGGAGGATGTCTCCATCAAATGCCTCCCCTCAGAGCTCAGGGAATCCTGCAGAAAGATTCTGAGAGCTAGAGGGGGTGGAGGACACCATCCTTGAACAACCAACATGAGCAAAGCTCCTATGAACTCACAGACTGAAGAAGCATGCACAGGGCCTGCACAGGTTTGTACCAGGTCCTCTGCAGTATAAAATGTGGTTTCCAACTTAGTGGTTCCTGGGGCTCCCGACTGTAAGAGGGAGTGGTCTCTGACGCTTGTGCTTTCTTTGGGGCTCTTTTCCTTTTGGCAGTTTGTCTTGTTTAACTTTGATGTAACAGTTTTTGTCTTATGTTATATTTTATTTTGTTATATTTTTAAAAGTGAATGAATGAATGAATGAATGAATGAAAACTTAGCCGCTAGGGTAAAGGTTAACAACTGAACAGTTTTCTCCAATAGAGAGGCACCCCCAACCTTCCCAGGCAGGAGACAACAAACACCTTTTTTTGGGTGTTGCTCCATTTTGTTTTCTTGGTCTTGGGGATTTTGTTGTATTGGATTTTTGTTTTTGTTTTGACAAAGAACGTACAGTTGTGTGGGTAAGGAGGGAGAGGGGATCTGGAAGGACTTGAGGAGAAGAATATGATCAAAATATATTTAAATTTAAGAATTGTTTTTAAATAATAATTTTTTTAAAAAACTATATACTGAATAGATCTTGCTTGATATGTGAAGATATTTGGGATTGTATATTTTCTCCTAGGATGACTATTAGTTTATGTCCTTATCCTTTTACACTGAAGTTACACTTACATAAATAAGCATTCATATATAAATTTTCTGAAATAAAAAATGTTAGAATGCAACACTTATTCTTTTCTTCCCCTCCATAAAAAAAAAAAAAACTGTCTCCACTGTAGTAAGTGCCAGTAAACTTACATAATGTTTGCAGTCAACAAGAAAATGTACTCACTTGGAAAGTAATGCCTCAGGCCCAGAAGGCTTCAGAAGGTACTTATCCACTGGTCTGCTGAACAACGGAGACGGTAACTTCAAGTGCTTGGTGACATTATGGAGGTTCAAGACATACAGAGTGAGATCTCCTTCTTGATATCTTGGGCTAAATGCAAACAGGTTAATTCAGTTATGTATTTGTCTGGTATATATTATGAAGAACCTCAACATGCACCCGATCAGACACACTGAGTGCCCGTATTCACGAAGGGGGTGGGACCTATTAGCATCCTTTCCTAGGATGATGTTAGACTGATCATGTGGCCCTATTTTGGAAACAAGAAAAGTACTGCTCTCCACACCAACACCTCCTGAGATAGAGTACTTTGCTCCTTTGCTACATGGAGCTCCAGAAGCCCATAGCCAGGCCATATATTCTTATATAGAGAAAGGTTTAATAATAATATCTATTCACGTGAGTTAGTTATAAACTATACAAACAAGAACGACTCCTAGTCCTATAAAAAGACTGAGCAGGAGTATGGTTAGAGCACTCGCTGAACCAGGGTTCAGTCTCCAATGTGACAGTCCACAACTGTCGTAACTCCAGCTTCAGAGATGATGTTTTCTTCCGGCTTCCACAGGCATGAGGCACACACATGGTACACAAACATATGTCGCCAAACACCATACATATAAAATAAAAATAATCAGACTGAGACAGGGCTGGGGAGATGGGTAAGCTGGTAAGATGCTTGCTTAATCTACAGAAACCATGTAAAAAGCAAAACAAGGTGGCTCATGCTTGTTGTTCTAGTGATGGTGGGAAGGGCCGGAGAGACATGACCCCTCGAGATTGCTGGCCTGCTAGCCTAACAAACTTGGCAAAGTTCCAAGCCCTGAGCTCGGTCCTTCTTTAACAAAAGATAGCTGGCCCTCAAGGAAGGACCCCTGAGAATGTTGGCTTCTACGTGCACACACATGTATGTATATGCACACCTGGGAATACACACGTGCACCTCACATGTGAACATGCCCGTATAAAAGAACATACAAAATATAATAATCACACAAAATAAAAAATAAAACAAACAAAGGCGAAGTGTGGTGATGTACGCCTTTTCTCAGAGCGAGTGGGAGGCAGAGGCAGGCAGATCTGAATTCAAGGGCTAGCCTGGTCTACATAGCAAATTCCAGGCCAGTCAAGACTATCGAGTAAGACTCTATTCAAAACAAAACAAAGCAAACAAAACAGAATCTAAATCTGTTGACTTTTTCAGAACTTATGCATTTCAACTGTCCCTTACTCCTCACTATGGCCTTCTCTATTCAGACATTTAAACTGTTACGTGCTTTTGGGCTAGTGTTAGCCTATCAGCCATGACAGATTAGCCTCATACTCCCTTCAAGGAATCAACTGTTCATCTAAATGTGGTGATATTTTACTTGTGTCCATTCCTGAAAAATTCAGGATATTTTCATTATAGGTTGTAACAATTAAAATCTCTTTTAATTGTGAATCTTTGCTGGGTTGCAAATGTCTATATTTAAGCAGTTGTTTTTTAAAATTTTATTTATCTATCTTGGGTTTTTTTGAGACAAAGTTTCTCTGAGCCCTGGCCACCTGGAATTAGCTCAGGACACCAGGCTGATGAAAATTAAGGATCTGCCTCCCTCTGCTTCTCAAGTGCTGAGATTAAAGGTATGTGTCACCACTGCCTGGCTTAGTTTTTTTTATCTTTAAAAACTTATTTATGTGTATAAGTGTTTTGCCTGCATATATGTACACTGTGTGTGGGCTTGGTGCCTGCTGAAGCCCAAGTGTTGAATGCCCTGAAACAAGAGTTACAAACAGTAAGTTGCTTATGTGGGTGCTGGTACTGGAAATTGAACTTGGGTCCTCAGCCAGTGCTCTTAACTGCTGAGCCATCTCTTCAGCCCCTATTTAAACAAGTGTGTGCGTGTGTGCGCGTGTATGTGTGCGTGCACATATGTGCGCACGCACATATGCAAATGTTCTGTGATCACAGGTGTACACAGCCACATCCAGCTTTTTCCACAAGGATGCTGGATATTAACGCAGGTCTCCATGCTTCCACAGAGCATGACCCTCATGGAGCCGTCTCTCCAGCCCTGCTAGCAATTTTTTGAAGCTAGATCCTGCAATCATGAAGACAAAAAGGAAAGATAAAGCAAAACGACACAGGTCCCATCCATCAGAGCTAGGGGCAACCGGAGCGCTGGATGGGGAAGTTACTCGCCTCCCCAAAGCAGACCGCTGTGGGGAGAAGGAGGCTCCGCACTTACTGATCAGCGTTAGTGCAGTGGAGATACACTCGGAGTTTGCTTCCGTCCGGGCCTCTCACTCTTGACATTAACACCTTGGGACCTACCAATTTCTTGAACAGGAGAGAGAGCCAGTAATCCTAGTTCATTCAGTGGGGAGGAACCAAAAACAGATCTCTGGTTATTTTCTCATTTGTGTCTTAACAAGTCAATGTCAACTACACAGCTATGGTATACCACTGTGACAATTACCCTAGGGATTTTTATAACCACAGTAAGTGGGATAAGTTCTGACCAAAATAAATCAACTATCATACTATTTTCAACAAGGAAATTGAAATATTGGCTAAATAATTCAAATCATTCTCTTATAATCATTCTTAGAAGGGCAAGATAGATAACTCAGCAGTTAAGAACACTGGCTGCTCTTCCGAACGATCAGGGTTCAGATTGTAGAACCTACACAGTGGCTCAGAACTGTTTGTTACTCCAGTTTCGAGGTGGGGGGAAGCAATGCCTTCTCCTGGCCTCTAAGATCACTGGGTATGAAAGGTGGGCGCACACATAAATGCAGGCAAAACACCCAGACACATAAAATCAAATTAAAAACAAATTAAAAACTGCCATTAAAATATCCTTAGAAAACAACTTTTCAAATGTCATTTTATATGTTTGCTTATTTAATTTTTGTATTTGAAAGATAGGATCACGTAACTCGGGCTGGCTTCAAATTCACTATGTAGCTGAGGCTGGCCCTGAATGTCTGATTTTCTCCTTCCACTGGCCAACAGGGATCACAGGTGTGCACCCCCACTTGGCTTCCATTGATACAGAGTAAAAAGGTCAGCATCATGCTTCTTAGGGCAATGTTTATCATACCTTAGGTCTTAGACATACACACTCAATCACAGGCAACACACAGGACTCACACATACAAGGTAGAACTTTGGGTAAAAGGCTAAATTTCCTCATTTAGCATCAAATATAGTATGAGATAGGTAAAAATAGAATTTTATTCATAATATCTTGAAGATTATTATATACATACATGCATATATAAAAATTATTTTGAGATAGGGTCTCACTGTATAGCTCTTTACAGGATTGGAACTCACTATGTAGACCAGGCTGGCTGCTGCCAGCTGCTATTAAAGACGTGTACCAGCATACCTGGCTCAAATCTTGAAGATTATGGATAAAATAACTAATTACTACGATGGTGTTTTTAATACATAACCCTGGCCTGTTGTAAAGTTAGACAAACTTTATGGTGCTATAACATAATTTGTTGTTGCTGTTGTTGAGACATGAGGCTACTTTGTTGCCCAGGTCGGCTTAAAACATACTGTGTAACCTGGATGGCCTTGAACTCATGGTGATTCTCCTGCCTCAGCCTCTCAAGTGGGATTATTGGCAGGAGTTACCACTCCTGGATATTATAAAAAGTTCTGAGCCGGGCAGTGGTGGCACACGCCTTTAATCCCAGCATTTGGGAGGCAGAGGCAGGCGGATTTCTGAGTTCGAGGCCAGCCTGGTCTACAGAGTGAGTTCCAGGACAACCAGGACTACACAGAGAAACCCTGTCTCGAAAAAAAAAAAAAAAAAAGAAAAGTTCTGAATCTTTGCTAGTAACTAGGATAGCATTTCCTGCCCCCTTTCTTGGTGTGTGTGTGTGGGTGTGTATTTCTGTATACATGCATGTGTGTGCAGGCACCTGTTGTTTGCCATAGCTTGTATGTAAGTTAGTGTGAACAACCTTTCTTGTTAGTCTCTCTGCTTGTTGCTAGATACACCAGAATGTCTGGGCTCAAAACTTCTGGGACTTCTGAGTCTGCGTCCCATCTCCTCATGTGAGCTCTGGGATCACAGACGACGCTACTGCACCAGGGTTTTCATAGTCTCTGTGGATTCAAAGTGCAATAAACTGGCCACGTGTGGTGGTATGCGGCTTTAATACCAGCTCTTGGGGGGGGGGGGGGCAGAGGCAGAGGCAGGGGAATCTCTGTGGGGACATGGCTAGCCTCAGGTACATAGTGAGTTCCAGGACAGCTTGAACTACATAATAGAGAGTTATTGTCCCCCCCACAAAAAAGGCCCCCAAAATCAGAATGCAGTAAGCACCTCCAGTCCTTGGAGTAGTGATTTTAGCTTTGACTTGCTAAAACTGCAAAACATTCATTCAAAATTTTAAATAAAATGCACACCATACTCCAAGTAGATTTTGTTTGTTTTTCAAGACAGGTGTAGCCCTGGCTGTCCTGGAACTCAGTCTGTAGACCAGGCTGGCCTTGAACTTATGGAGACCTCCCTCCTTGCCTCTCCCTCCTGAAGGTTGGGATTGTCACCACACAGCTTTTTTGCTTTTTTTGGGGGGGGGCACTACTTTAAAAATAATTCCTGATTCTTTTTTTAAAGATTTATCTATTTATGTATATGAGTATACTGTAGCTGTCTTCAGACACACCAGAAGAGGGTATCTGATCCCATTACAGATGGTTGTGAGCCACCATGTGGTTGCTGGGAATTAAACTCAGGACCTCTGGAAGAACAGTCAGCGCTCTTAACCACTGAGCCACCTCTCCAGCCCAATTCCTGATTCTTAATTTCTGTTCTTGAGTCACAAAGAAAGAAAAAAGAAAGGAAAAAAAAATGAAGATGATCTGAAAGGGTCCTCTCAGCCACACACGGCTCTTTACTGAGGACACTGAGTGTCCCCAGCAGGTTAGTACAGGGCCCGGGCAGACGTCCCTGTACTCAGATACAGGAGAGCGAGGTCACCTACCGGTAAGGGCTCGAAGTTTTCATCCACTAGGTGGTAGTTGCCCGCTCCGAAGAACACCTGCCTCATCACGACCTCTATGCCCATCTGGGCTGACAGGCCCAGTTTGTCCAGCCACCTGGGACAGAGGGACATGAGCTCTCTTTAGCTTGGAAAACAAAGTCATTCCATTCTTATTACACGGAGATTTGTTCGTCTAGGTGGGAGGAGTTGACAGGAAACCGGAAGAATGGCATTAATTGAAAATAGTCGTTCAAATAAGACGGTGGCGGACACCCACGCCCTCCCATAGGACACCGCGCTCTGCCTAGCATGACGTTCGTAGGCTGGAGTTTAGGGCAAGACAACTTCTAGAGCAGAATTAAACTCCCACCCGCAGACGCTCCTCGTCCAGTGCTCTTGCTCTTCAGGCCCTCCTGCCTCCTTCTCTTTTGCTTCTGATCACCCGTGAGGTGAGCAGTTTTGCTACCGCATGCTTCTGCCGTAACAGTCTGATTCATAGACTCAAAGGCAATAAGACCAATCGATCGAGTTGAAGCCTCCGATAGTGAGCCAAAATAAACCTTTCCTGTCTTACGTGGTTTATCTTGGGTATTTTTCCACAGTGACAGAAGGATTACACAAATTCTTTGGCCTGTTTTTAGACCATAACAATTGTTTCTTTCTTCCCTTCATCCTCCTCCTCTTCATCATCATCCTCATCACCACCATCAGTATCATCACCATCACCACTATCATCATCATCAACATCTTCACCACCACCATCATCATTGTTACCATCATCACACTGTGGGTCGAGCTTGGGGCCTGTGAACACTCTAGCAAGCTTTCTATCACTGACTTTTATCTTCAGCCTCATTTCATGTTTTTATTTTTGAGACAAGACCCCTTAGTTGTCCAGCCTTGCCTTGAACTCACTCTGTAGTCCAATCAGATCTTGAACATGTAATCCTCCTGCCCCAGCTTCCTAAGTAGCTAGAATTCCAAATCCATGCCATCATGCCCAGCCAAACTTGATTTAAAAAAAAAAAAAGACCTTTATACTTGTTTGCAATGGTTGGCTGGGGACACCAATTAAAGATGTCCAACAAGATTTAGCAAAGGAGGCTAAGTGTATGAGTGTTCTTGCCTGCATGTATGTCTGCACCGTGTACACGCGGGCGCCCGTGGAGTCAGCAAGAGGGCATTGCATCTCCTAAAACTGGGGTTACCATGTGTGTGCTGAGACTTGAACCCCAGGCCTGTATGCACAGCCAGCGTTCCTAACCACTGAGCCATCCAGCCTGGAAAACCACTTTTTTTCGTAAGTCCTTGGCGCACAATTTTGGGGCTCTACCTCAGAAACTGTATTTGAGGCAGGTTTTGGCTGTCATTGGAGGATGCAGAAGACCTGGAATCTGAGCCCGAAGGCCTCACAGTGTCACTCACATAAAGCCGGCTGCAAAGGTGTTGGACAGCAAGGGCGCCCCGCCGCCGTACGCAGAGCTCGTCTCTCCCAACCAGACCTTCTTGCCGGGTGTCATCTCCTTAGTTACCTGAGGAATGAGGCCATTTCAAACGAGTCAGGCACTGAGTGTGGACAGCACACAGAGCGCTGCATCTCCAGGTTCCCCTGCCCTCGTATTACAAGTACATCGGTAATCACCCAGGTCTTCACCGTTACCTTATACGGGCCTACTGCGGTACAGGAGGAGGGTAAGTAAATCGGACTGTAACAGTTGACTCCACTGAAAGGCCATTAGAAGTCTTTCAATTTCTAGGTCTAAATAAGACCCATAAGAGACATAGTGCTTACTCTTTAAAATCAGGAAAAAGATGTCACCACAGACATCCATCGCTGTCACAGAGACTGGTGCGGCATGAAAATTTTAGGAAGACTATTACCTTGAGAATTTTTTTCACAGATGGAATAAAAGTGTCCAGCACATCGGAGCTCAGAAAATCTTCTTTGGTAGCAACACGGCCATTCAAGTAGTAGCTAAATTATTCAGAAAAAAACATACAAGTTACTCCCTGCTGTTAAGTCAGTTGTGAACCTTGTCCTTCTTCATACTCTTTCTCAGCAGCATTATTTTTTAAAAAGGCAGAGTTCTTCCAGAGAGGATCTAACACAGGGAAGGGTCTACTTTATCCAAGTAACTATGTGTCAGCTCTTCCACTTTAAGAAGACACGGGCAGAATACAGGAGCAAAGGGTTACTCATTCTGAGGCAAGCAACTGGTTTACCTGCTTCTGTAGCTCATGGCTCACGGCCATGGACCTCAGTCTTTGTAAGAACTACTACATTATTTACAACAACATTACATTTGTTTCATTAATATTAAATTTTTGTATACTGACATTCAAAATGCTGCCTGCTTATTACTTGAACTTTAAAAGTCAATCAAGTCAGCAGTCAGGCAAAAATAACAATAAATACAACTGGAATTACTTTTTCAGCATTAAGAATTCTTATTCTTTTGGTAGGAGGTGGTGGCGCACACCTTTGATTCCAGCACTCAGGAGGCAGAGGCAGGTAGATCTCTGAGTCAGAGGCTAGCCTGGACTACAAAGTGAGCTCCAGGACAGCCAGAGCTACACACAGAAACTTTGTCTCGAAAAACCAAAAAGAAAAGTGTGTGTGTGTGGGGGGGAGGGCTGCACAAGACTTTGTCTCAAAAAATCAAAACAATAAACAGACCAACATCAGAAAAAGAATCTCTATTTAAAAAAACTATTTGTTTATTTATTTAGAGACACAGTCTCACCCTGTAGCCTTGGTTGGCCTGGAACTCAATATGTAGATCAGGCTGGATTTGAACTCACAGAGATCTCCTGAGTGCTAACATTAAAGATGTGCACTACCACACCCAACTTATTTTTAATTTTTTGTGTGTAAACGTGTGCCTGTAGGAGTTATATGCACATGTGTGTGTAGTGCCTTTGGAGGCCAGAAAGGAGTATTAGATCTCTTGTTACAGATGGTTGTGAGCTGGGAACCAAACCCAGGTCCTCTGTAAGAACAGCATGTGGTGCTCTTAGCCACTGAGCCAGCTCTCCAGCCTATTTGCTGCCATTTGTAATGTAACTATAATTACATCACCAAGGCATGGGGGAGGGTATTAAACAAACTGACGTTAATAACAGGATATTGTAATATGAGTACTTACTGATGCCACGTAAGAGAATCGATCACTTCTCCGCCAGCCTTCAGGAAACTAGAAGAAATGTTCCGTGGTGGGGTCACTTACCCTCAAACAAATGTGTGCTTCAGAAGAGCTCTATTCCTTGGGGATGGCTGACTATGACGTGCGTCTCAGGCAACACAAACATCCTGATCACACTTGACATTTGCTCCAGAATCCGTGGAATTTTAAGCCAGTATTTCCTCTTTTGGTAAACCATATAATTAAGGATCAGACTGTTTATGTGAACTACTGGGGCTTCTCCATGGGAAGAAAAGTGGTTCTGCTTTCTCGCCAAGAGAACAGCAAATGCTAAGAGGGAAACCACCGTCCCTCTCAGAGAGGAAGCCAAAGTCAAGGCCACTGAAAACCAAGAAGGTCACTGAACGAAGAGCTGCATAGCACCCTCCTTCCACTGCCCAAGACCCTGCAGCTCCAGAGGCAATCTGAATACCTCAGCAATAGCATCCCCTGGAGGAACAAGCTTGACTCCTCTGCCCTCATCTAGTCCCCCCTCCCTCCCCCCGACCTCCGAGTCAGTCATGGAGAAGATGGAAGTCATCAACAGGACCCAGCTCCTCGTTTATGTCAAGACCAGTAAGAGTTGGATCAAACAGGCTAAGAGGAGACTCTAGGACAATGATATAGCCACAGCAATCCGCTGCTCGGGCCTGACAGAAGGCACATGCTCAGCTGCCTCTTTGGCTGTTGTCAACAAAATTGGGACCATCTAAACTCAGTTCAGCGGGCTAATTTTAAGTACACATTTTTTTAAGCATTAAAAAAATAAGAAGGCTCCAGGTGGTGGTGGTGGCATATACCTTTAATCCCAGAATCTAAGAGGCAGAGGCAGGTGAAACTCTGAGTTCTAAGCCACCCTGGTCTATACAACCAGTTCCAGGACAGCAGGGCTACGCAGAGAAACCCTACCTTGAAAAAAAACAAGAAAAAAAGGAGGCAAGAAAGAAAGAGAAAGTAAAGGAGGAGGGGGGCACAGGGGAAGGAGGAGGAGTGGGAGGGAAGAGGGAGGGGAAGAGGAAGAAGAAAGTAGTTGTATATCCCCAATTCCTACCTTCTCAGCAGCTTAACTGTCTTCCCGCGAGGCTGACCAATGTCAGGACCATAGAGTTTTGCATTTTGGAAAGCTGACCTTTGTAGAAGTTTATGCAACTCCACAAAATCTTCTCCTAACTGCAACCCATCGACAAGAATGTGAGCTTTCTTCCAGAAACTGTTGGGCTCTGAAAGACAGCAAGTCTCACCTCTTACCTGAACACTCTTTAAACACAAGCATACAGCAACAAACGTTTCTCAAACTACAAAACCTAGAATCAAAAGTCAAGAAAAGTTATTAAAGACGAGAGCTTGGAAACACAAACACTTGAATCACAGCATAATGATGGAGTAAACAAATTCAAGTTAGTAATAGAGATGCTAAGTCAATGGGCATTTGGAAAATAGGTTACATCCAGGATTTAGTAGTCTTATTTTTATTTATTCTCTTACAAAGAACAATAGAGAGCTAGGAACATAGCATAGCTGGTAAAACACCAGCCTTGCAAGCAGGTGGACCTGAATTTGATCCCCAAACTCCACATAAAAGAAAGCCAGACACAGTGGCACATTTGTAAACCCAGCACTGGAGAGGCAGAGACAAGAGGACCTCTGGGGCTCGCTCTCCAGCTAGCCTAGTGTACAAGGGGAACTCCAGGTGAGCAAGAGACCATATCTTGTTCACATACAAAAAGTAGAAGGCATCTGAGGAATGACATGTTAGGGGGTTCATGCATGCAAGCGTACGCACATGAGCATGTAAACACACACACAAATACACACAGAGAGGGGTGAGAGATGGGAGAGAGAGAGAGAGAGAGAGAGAAAGGGAGAGAGAGAGGAGAAAACAAGAAAGAGAAAGAATGGGCAGGTCGAAGACTATTATGTGTACAACAGTGTCTGTCCAAACAGCATGAATTCATCAAACAACGATGTTCTATTTCTGGACTTCACATCCTCAGACTCCAGCTTTACTGATTGATGTATGGAAAATTCTACAGATATTTTGAATAAATCTGACTAATTATTAACATGTTAGTTAGAACTTACAAGTTCCTTGGGGCTGGAGAGATAGCTCAACAGTTAAGAGCACAGGCCGCTCTTCCATATGGCCTGGACCCACCTGGTGGCTCACAACTCTTTATAATCTATGCTGGAAAATTCTGGACAGCTTGAGCATCTCATGGAAGTTGGCGTGTGGCTGGCAGTGTAGTAGCTACTGTCTGTTGCAATAACTGAAACTTGTGGAAGAAATAATTTCCTTTTATAAAATTTATTTGTTTTCTGTATATGAGTACACTGCAGCCATCCTCAGACACACCAGCAGCGGGCATCAGATCCCATTACAGATGGTTGTGAGCCACCACCTGGTTGCTGGGAATTGAACTCAGGACCTCTGGAAGAGCAGCCAGTGCTCTTAACTGCTGATCCATCTCTCCAGCCCAGAAGAAATAATTTCTATTGCTTATTGTTTTAGAGGGTATGCTTTATAGTAGCCAACACAGGAGCCTGAGGTGGGGGGAGATTCGATAAGGACATAAAGCCTCAAAGCCAGCTCCCAGTGACATACTTCTTCTAGCAAGGCTGTACTTTCTCCTCTAACAGTTCCTCCAGTAGAGGAGACACTTCTCACACTTCTCACTCAAACCACCACGTGGAGACTACCTGGCAGACCGAGAAACAAATGCAAGGAAGAATAGAATTAAACTGCTAACCTCAGGGAATCTGAGAGGAAGCCAGGAGCTGATGGCTCCTGTAGGTTTTCTTATCTCAAAACAACAAGAAGATGTGCTAATGAAAAGGCTTGGCTGGTGAAGCATTCCATAGAGCTGGGAGGACAGAGCCAACTTCACAAAACTGTACTCTGGCCTAGTCATGTGTGTGCTGTGGCATGTGACCTTCCCCTATGACATACGTAATAAAATAATAATAATAATAATAATAATAATAATACACATTTGAAAAAGAAAGGAGGGAAGGAAAAAAGAAAGAAAGAAAGACAGACAGATATAACCAACACCACCAGCATTTAGGGTAGGGTAATGGCTCAGTTAACAAAGTGCTTGCTATAGAAAGCAGGAAGGCCTGAGTTCATATTCCCAGGACCCACAGGAAATGCTTGGCACAGTTGTATGCCTATAACCCAACAATGGCTCGGAGGCAGAGACAGGGACCCCAGGGCTCAGTGGTCAAAAAAAATCACTGAGTTCTAAGTTCAGCAAAAGACCCTTTCTCAAAAAATGAGGTGGAGGCTGATGGAACATAAGAAGAGAAAAATATCACTAAGGGAATGCATTTAGGAGTGAGATGTCCCCGGATACATACCGTTGCCCAGTTCCCAGGAGATGTTGTAACCCTTGGCAGAGCAGTAGTTGAGGAGAAGTTGGGCATTGGAGCTATTCCACCGTAAGTCTGGGGTTCGTAGTAAAGCATTGAGACCAAAGATCAGGTCTAACCTCGAGCACTTAGCGAAACTGTAGAGCATGTCCACTGAGCTCCCTAAAAGACAAAAGGTGGCATTTGGTTACATTGACACCGCAGTGAAGACTGCCTCTGGGCTTGCTCTTCATGAATTTTCTTTATATTGTTTAGTCAAAGGAATTCTATTCCTAATAAATGACTGTCGTTATGCCTAGGCAGTGACACAACTGGACAGGTGATCAAACAAAGAAAGCCTGGACTGGGGTTGAAGCTCAGATGGTAGAGTATTTGGCTAACGTGTAGGAAGCTGAGGACTATTCAGGCCTCAGCCCCACTGTGCAGACGATGAGGGCCTTACACTCCTAATCCTTTTGCCTCCAGCTCCTAAGCGTTGGTGATTGTAGCTCGCTACTTAGGTTTTGAGGGTGTCACAATACAATTTTAAGTTTTTACACTTTCATTTTTATATTGTGTATGGATAACCGCAAATACATGCTGGCCTGCATATCTGTGCACCGCTATGTGCATGCAATACCTTCAGAGGCCAGAAAAGAGTGTTGGATTTCCTGGTACTGGAGTTACAGATGGTTGTGAGCTGTGATGTGGTGCTGGGGATTGAGCCCAGGTCCTCTGGAAGAGCAGCCATGAAGATGTCTCTCTGTCCTCAACAATATAATTTTGTGTGGTCTTTGAACTGGGTATCATAGATGTAATAAGTCTCTATGATTTTCTCATAAATTTTCAAATCATTTATTCAGCAGAATAAATTCACTTAAGAACTCTTCTAGTTTAGACACACACACACACACACACACACACACACACACACACACACACACCTCTCTATCTGGTAAATGTCAAGACTTTCTCCTTAAAAGTGGCTTTGCTTTTTTTGATCTTTAAGTCTTTACCTGAATCACCTTTGTAATCATAGCAGTGTAGTCTCAAACTCAACGCTGTTGGCAAAGGCTTCTGGGTAGCTTTAGTTGTAAGGGTTGGTCTGGTGCTGCTATGTACTCAAATGCTATATACCAGACCCTAAGAGCTGGCTGCTCCAGGATGAGCAGATCCTCATGTAGACCAGCTTTTGTGGTGTAAACCTTGCCCCGCATGTTATCCATACTTGGTTAATAAAGATGCCTACAATCTGGGCTAGGCAGGAGAGGGGGCGGAGCAAAGGTTCCAGGGCTGGTGGGTCCTGGGCAGAGACCAGGAGGAGAAGAGGGGAAGAAGGAAGATGTCACCATGGAGTAGGAGGACCCTGAGCACATGCCCATGAAGGGCAGCCTGTTGGAGTAAGAACATCCCAAGCTGAATGTGGTGCTATCCCATGGTTATTGACAGGGAAGTAGACACAAAATAGCATAGAGGGTTGATATCTTCCCAGCTCTAGTGCTTAAGGCTGACCATAAATATACAGGCTTTTGTGTCTTTTATTTGAGAAGTATATGGTCATGTCTCTCCTTGCTGACTGACCACAGTGCTGTCAGTGGGTGACATAGCAAATATCTCAGTACCTAAGTGTTGTAGTAAATATTATTCTGGGTTTTTTTTTTACCCCACTTAGACCATATACTATGTCCTAATAGCTTTTCTTTTCCACTACCTCTGCTGTGTGGTGGGCTAGAGGAGAGGTTGAACCCTTGTTAAAAGTAGGTTGCAAAAAAATTAGGCCTATATTGGAGGCTGTTGTTCATGTACGATGACAACAAGCTATACGTTTCCACTCCAGTAAACACGGTAGGTTGTTCCAGCTGCACAAAATGTGCTTGCTCACACACAGGTGGGAGACTGGGTCACACACAGGTGGGAGACTGGGTCACACACAGGTGGGAGACTGGGTCACACACAGGTGGGAGACTGGGTCACACACAGGTGGGAGACTGGGTCAAACACAGGTGGGAGACTGGGTCACACACAGGTGGAAGATACACAGGCATGAAGTACATCAGCATGTATGGCTGTGCTCCCTCCTCATGCCTCATTGGATGAAGACAGGAAGTACCCAGCCTTGTGTAACCTAACTCATTGCGATTCTCTGGGAATTCTGGGTATGGACCTGGCCAATGTCCACCGTCCTGGCCAGTATTAAGTAAAGCTTACTTTAACTAGACAATGGTGGACTTAGTCTTTCTCCTCACAGTTTTCAGGTTTAACAGTACATCTCCTGATAACATGATAAACACTAATATCTCCTAGGACAAACGTACTATACTTCTGAGTTCAAATATATGCTTAAAAATAAAAATAAGGGGCCAGCAATACGGCATAGTAAGAAAGGTTTGGCTCGATAGGATCCATATTGTAGAATTAGATAAAGAACTTCCACAAGTTGTCCTCTGCCTTCCACACATCACACACACACACACACACACACAGACACACACACACACACACACACATACACACACACACAAATGGGAAAGCAAAGAGATCTTTGGGATGAATGTAAACCAGGTGACACATGAAAGAAACAGAGCCAGTCTTTCCTTTTAGTTACAGTGTAACTTACTGTAAAGACATTCAGCATGGGGCTACACTTGAGGGGGACAGAGGCAGAGGGGAGAAAAGGCAGAGGGAGAGGAAGCCGAGGTTAGCTCAAAATCTGATCAGCATAACAAGGTGGCTCCTTCCCTCCTTTTGCCCAAACAGGCTCTCAAGGCAAATGCTTTTTGTCTGCTACTTAAGCCAAAAGTTCTCAACCTGTGGGTCTCAACCCCTTTAAGGTCCACCACCCTTTTCACAGGGGTCACCTAAGACCATCAGAAAACACAGATATTTACATTACGATTCACAACAGTAGCAAAATTAGTTGTGGAGTAGCAACAGAAACAATGTTACGGTTGGGGTCACCACAGCACGAGGAGCTGTACTAAAGGGTTGCATCGCTGGGAGGATGAGAGTCCTGGGAAAGCTTACCTATATTTTCTAGGAAGCCTCTTTTACTTTATGTATGTATGTATGTATGTATGTATGTATGTATGTATGTATGTATGTACATACATTTTAGCATCGCCAACACAATGACAAAACTGTACCAAGCCAGTTACCCAATGATAAGGCCACCTCTGCAAGGTGGAAGGATGCTGTAAATACATCACCTTGGTAACTTAAGATGATATGTCCTCACTAATCTGTTTCAGAAACTAAAGATAAAGTAGTTCGGTGTTTAATATGACCCCCTCAACATGGAAATGTAAACCATTCATTACATAATACCATGTGGTCTCCTTACATACCTGTGCAACGATTTCTTACACATAAGACCTTACACTGTAGATTTCTAGCACTCTCTGTCATTCCTGTAGAGGGATCAGAGATGGCCCTGATTTATGCCAAATTTAATTCAACAATAAATCAAGCTTGCCATCACATCTGGGTAGTTTGACTCTATTACGAAGGCCAGAGTTGGAGCTGGAGAGACGGCTCAGCAGGTAAGAACACTGGCTGCTCTCCCAGAGGACAGGCTTTAGTCTCCCAACTCCCAGAAAGCCGCACATACCTGCCAGTAATTCTGATTCTAGGCCATCAAATGACCTCTTCTGGTCTCTACAGGGACTGCATGCATATTGTGCTCAGACACATGCAAGCAAAATACCATTTTGTGAAATAAATAAATAAATAAATAAATAAATAAATAAATAAAGCCAGAGTTTAAGTAACTATTACTTATCAGCACATAATTCATTTTTGGTTTCTTCTTTTTTTTTCTTTTGTTTTTTTTTTGTTTTTGTTTTTTTCAAGACAGGGTTTCTCTGTGTAGCCCTGGCTATCTTGGAACTTGGAACTTGCTCTGTAGACCAGGCTGGCCTGGAATTCAGAGATCCTCTGCCTCCCAAGTGCTGGAATCAAAGGTGTGAGCCATCCTGGCCTGGATCATTTTTGGTTTCTTATATGTCATATTTTTATGTACTTTATATATAAAAATATACCATATAATAAACACTGGTCTGATATATTGAAATCCAGATGGTATACAGAAACCCTTACAACATAGGTGAATTAGTTTACATGACTAGGAGATATGGGGTTTGGTTTCAGACCATTACAATAAAACATAGAATCATAATGAAGTCTGTCACAATTGTTTGGTTTCTGAGTATGACTGACGGTTATATTCCTCTATATCACAGTCTACTCAGAATGCAGTAGTATCATGTCTAACATGTACACATCTTCATCTAAAAGGATTGTGGACTAGAGAGGTGACTCAGTGGTTAAGAGCAGTAACTGTTCTTCCAGAGGACCAGGGTTTAATTCCCAGCACCTACATGGGAGCTCACAACTGTCTATAATTCTAGTTCCATCAGGTCTGACACCCTCACACAGACATGCATGCAGGCAAAACACCAATGCACACGAAATAAGTAGATCTGCCGGGCAGTGGTAGTGCACAACTTTAATCCTGACATTTGGAAGACAGAGATGGGCGAATCTATGAGTTCGATGCTAACCTGGTCTACAGAAAGAGTTCCAGAACAACCAGGGCTACACAGAGAAACCTTGTCTCTAAGATCAAAACAAAGCAAAATTAGATCTTTTAAAAAAAGAAAAAGAAAGAAAGAAAAAAGAAAACTTTTACTGCTTTACAATGCTAATCATTGTCTATCTTTCCTTGCAACATTTTGTAACATTTGGCTGGCGACAGGGGCTTGATTCCGGCAGCTGTTAACTGATGGCTGTTGTGATCACTGAATGTTGAGACACTGACCGCAATTTCTTAAGACAGGAATGAAGTTTGTCGTATCAACTGGTGATCTCTGTACCACGTGATGTGGTTTGACAGCCTCTCACCTAGAGAGAACGCTCCTGCAAGGCGAGCCAAGGGCTCAGATCCTGGGCTGTTTTGTCAGCGCTGTTTATTTACCAGTCTAAGTTTGATCCTGCTGCTTCTCCGTGCTATGAATTGATCCCATCACACAAAACCCCGTCTTCGTACCTCTCTAAGCAGTAACCCTTCAGCTGTGACAACTTTGGCTGTGAAAGTGAAACCAGGCCACCTTTCTTTCTATTTTCACAGTTACTGTCTTGTTACTTCCTCCACCGACATCTTGAATCCTCCCAAATCTTCCTTGAGGATCAGAATGAACTCCTTCCAAACTCTCGCATTAACTGGAGTTTGATATGCTCCTATGAAATCATAAATGGCACCAGTGGTCCATAGCCTGCTGCTGTGGTAGCATGAAGGCTGCATTAGTCTCCTGGACATCTCTGGGCGTCCTGGGGTGCAGTGAGTTTTTAAAAGCAATCGCCACCCCCCCCCTTAAGTAGGTCTCAATGGCAGATTTGAATAATACAGCTAGGGACTTTAAGTTGAAGTCACTGCTTATTGAGTAGTCCATAACCTCAAGAAAGCCAGCTGCCCTCTGAGGGTTCAAAGCCAGCCTTGAGTTCTCTCCAGCTATGGAAGTTCTAGACAGCATCTTCTAGGATAAGGCTGCTTTGCCCTCACTGATGTTAGCACATCTCCCTACACCAGTCATCTTTGCCAGACCTTCTGGATAACTGGCTGCAGCTATGTCATGCTCTGACTGGGGCACACTCTCAGCCCCTTTAACCTCTTCTGTAGCACCCTTCTTTCCCCTTCACAGGACTGAGGGGAGCTAGGGCTTGCTCTGCACGAGGGTTTGGGCAAAGGGTCTGTGGTTGCTGGTTTGATCTTCTATCTCCACCCCTAAAACTCCCTCCTTATTATGGATAACGGCGCGTTTTGCTTTCCGGTCGACCACGTGCTCACTGGAGCAGAACTTCTAGTTTCCTTAGGAAACTTTCCCCTAGCAGTCAGAGCGTGGCTAATTGTTTGGTGGAGGAGGCCAAGCATTCTGTCTATTTCAGCTTTTTACAAGCCATCCTCACTGTTAAGCGTAGCTTTGGACTTAGAACAAGAGATGGCTGACTCCTATTTTTTCCGCTTAAGTAATCAGGGGCCACTGTGAACTATGACTCAGCCAAACCGCAATGTGTTTGTGTCTTGGGGAATAGGAGGGCAAGAAGGGGGGGCAGGAAATAATAAGTGGGCGGAGCAGTCAGTGTACACACATTTATCAAATAAGTTCATTGTCTTCTTTGGATGTGGCTTGTGGTACCTCAAAACAGTTTCGACAAGAACATTAAAGGTTGCTGGGTGTAGTGGAGCACATCTCAGCACTTGGGCGGCAGAGGCAGGAGAATCTCTGACTTCGAGGCCAGCCTATTCAACCTAATCAGCACCAGGACAGAACTACATAGAAAGATCCCATCTCAAAGAACATGAAGGAACAAACAAACAAAGGGAATCAGGCTATGGTAGCTCACACTGTCATCTCAGGACAACCCAAGACATCAACTTTCAGATGAGAAAATTTCATAGTTAATGAGGAATGTCTGTTTCCATTTGCCTTAGAGCCTTGTAGGACAATGCCATCCTACGCTGAATGGCTAAGAAAAAAATAAAAGATAATAAATACTGGTGAGGATGTGAGAAAAGGGGACACATACTTATTTATCAACTGCTGGTGGCACTGAAATCTGGTGGAGCAACCATGGAAAGGAGTAGAGAGGTGCTTCAAACTAAAAACTGGAAGTCCCAGAGGATCCAACTGCACTTGGACATCTATCCAAAGAACTCTATATCCTATTCTATAGATATTCAGCTCAGTCTCATTCATTGCCACTCTACTCACAACAGCCAGGAAATGGAAACAGACCAGATGTCAATCAACTGCAGAATATAATAAAAATGTGCTATATTTACATTTCAGCTGTCAAAAATGAAATTAGGAGCCAGGCGGGGGTGATGTATGTAATCCCAGCTCTTGGGAAGCAGAGGCAGTCAGAACTTTGAGTTCAAGGCCAGCCTGGTCTACAGAATGAGTTCCAGAATAGCCAGGGCTACACAGAGTAACCCTGCCTTGGAAAATGGAGGAAAAAAATGAGATTATGAAATGTGTAGGTAGACGGATGGGCAGGCTACCTATGTCAGAAGTCAAAGGGGAGCTGCACCAGCTTTGGGCTTGGGGTGGGGTCTTCCACAGACTCTCCTTCATTTCACGACACTGCTTATTGAAGCCAGAGCCTCATGTGTGCTCAGAGCATGCTCTACCATGGAGCTTCTTGCCAGCCTAGCTCATCAACTCTGTGTATGTGTACATGTATGTTCACATGTGTGTTCATGCACACAGCTGTATGTGTATGCACACATATGGATGTCAGAGGCTGACACTGAGTCTTTCTCTGTTTTTTACCCACTTTGTTTTTTTTTAATTTTTAAGATTTATTTACTTATTTTATTTATATGTGCACACTGTCCCTGTCTTCAGACACAACAGAAGAGGGCATCAGATCCCATTACAGATGGTTGTGAGCCACCATGTGGTTGCTGTGAATTAAACTCAGGACCTCTGGAAGAGCAGTCAGTGCTGTTAACCACTGAGCCATCTCTCCAGCCCCCACTTTGTTTTTTTTCCCCCAAAAGATTATTCTTATCTGTTACTCAAATAACAGCAGATAACTTTTAGAAAATTACTTATTTTGTGTGTATAAGTGTAGTGTTTTGTCTGGATGTGTGCCTGTGCACCACATGGGCTTCTGGTTCACAAGGGCAAAAGAGGATGCCAGATTCCCTGGAACTGGATTTATGGGTAGTTGGGTGTCACCCCAGTTCTCTTGGAAGAACAGCAAGTGCTCTTAACTGCTAAGCCATCTTAGCTCCTCTTAACTGTGCTAGCCACCCACCTTAGTTTTTTGAGACAGGGTCTCTCACTGATCCTGAAACTCACTTGAGCTGAAATTGACTAGCGTTAGCTCAGGAGACCTACCTGTCTCAGTATTGGGGTAACTCACATAAAAACACACACAGTTTTCATGTGAATACTGGGGATCCTCGTGCCACCTCACCAACTGTGTCATCCCCCCCCTCATTAATTCTCAGTAGTATTAAATACTGTAGAGCTTTATGCATTACCGTGGTGGGATCATGGCGGTCACTGCATAGAAGCGCAGCCCCTCCGAGCATTCCTGTGGCTAGAACACCTATAGGCACCTGCAATTCTTACTTGAGTAGGTGCTGTTCTTGAACTGTTTTTGGTATTGTTCTCGGAGCAGCAACAGCTCCTGGAAGGGCCATTCCACCTGGAGTTTCCTCAGCACGTCAGCAGAGACCGCCTCAGACCTGCACATATCTGTAGATGAGAGAATTCAGGGACATCATTTTCACAGTGACAAGGTTGAAACCCAGCCTGGATACTTAGTCAACTGTTATGTGGCTACTAAGGCAGATGATTACGTTTCTGGTTATTAAGTACAAGATCAGAGAAACATCTATTCTGTTACACGGACCGAATTTATTGGCTAACTAATGACTACCAAGAGAACAACCCAAGGCCAACAACTTAAGAAACACTGGGTGTCCCCTGACATGGAGCACTGGCAGGAGGATTTCAAATGTTTTCCCAGTCCAGACATCCCCTCAGCAGCTTGACCTGATCAGAGATTTGGATGTGGAGGCCAGAGTTCAGCTCAAAAATGAAAGTTCATTTTTAATATGCAGCTGGCTGTTGGGGCACACACTTGTCATCTCAGTGTGTTCCCACATGCTGTGGCAGGAGGATGGGTATGAGTTTGAGACCAGCCGGGAGGTGGTGGAGCACGCCTTTAATCCCAGCACTTGGGAGGAAGAGACAGGCGGATTTCTGAGTTCGAGGCCAGCCTGGTCTACAGCGTGAGTTCCAGGACAGCCAGGGCTACACAGAGAAACCCTGTCTCAAAAAACCAAAAAAAAAAAAAAAAAAAAAAAAAGAGTTTGAGACCAGCTTTAACTATGTAGCAAGACCCTGTCTTAAAAACAAAACAGAACACCAACCAGCTTCTCTCCATGACATTTCAGAAGACTTTCAGAATCAAGCGATTGCTGCCCAAGAAACAAAAAGAAAACTGTCCTGTTCCTCAATGGATTTGGATGAAAACTGGGAATGAAATAAGGTTCAACTCCAAGAGAAGCACGTGCACTGTAGGAGCAGAAGCTGAATTTGTAAGGATTTACACAAGGGCAAGATTGAGGGTTTATACTGAATAACGGTCATCTAACAATCCTACCAGATGGAGTCCTACCAGACTCCATGGCGTTCAGCATTTTTACTTATTTATTTTATATATACTGTTGCTGTCTTCACAAACCAGAAGAGGGCATTGGATTCCATTACAGATGGTTGTGAGCCAGCATGTGGTTGCTGGGAAATGAACTCAGGACCCCTTGAAGAGCAGTCAGTGCTCATAACTGCTGAGCCATCACTCCAGCCCCAGAGTTCAACATTTTTAACCTGGAGACTTGATCATATTTAAATTGTGAGATGGTTTGTCCAGTAATAAAATGTAAGACCTTTCATAAAACAAACAAACAACAAACAAACAACGAACAAACAGCAGAAAAGATCGGAGAGATATCTGAGCAGTTAAGAGCACTTGGTGCTCATGCAGAACCACTGGGTTCAAATCCCAGTACCCACTTAGTGGCGCACAAGTGTCTGTAACTTAGTTCTAGGGTATCTAATCCCTCTCTGACTTCCTCAGGTGCCAGAAAACATCTGAACATACATACATGCAAGTAAAGTGTACATATACATAAAAAAAAACCACATAGAAAGTTGCTATTTTGCTTTGTAGTAATTCCCTCTGTGATGAATTATAGCTAAAGGACCCGAACTGGTGAATTACTGACTGTTCCAACTTGCAGGCTTCTGGATCCACCCCAACTCTCCTCCCAGGAAGCCTGCATGGCTTTATCACAAGACAGCAGGGGTGCCAGAGTTGCTGCCAGAAGCAGCTGACCAGCTGATGACTTCCTTCCTGGGATGCTACCCTGTGGCTGGCTGACAGAGTTCCTTTTCTACCCCAGTGCTCACAAAGGATATCTCAGGGAGCTTTGGGGATCCCAGGGCACCTCCTCATCAGTCCTGGAATAAGGAAAGTGAGGTACAAAGATTGGCTTCCCATCTAAACTTAAATGATGACTGCAGGAAAAAAAGCCAAATAGCAAAAAATAAAAATCAGGAATGCTTCTGACGGGTAGGCAAGAGCCCAGCTGAGCAAACACCTGAAACTTATTATTAAAGGAGACTCTCATGCCTTCTTTCTGCCTTTTTCAAATTACTACTCTTCCAGTTTGGGACCAATAGCTGACTGACTAAGAAACTATGTTGAAAGGAATATGCATGCCATACATGAACTGGTTAGACGTTGCTCACTACCGTAGACAGAATGCATATGCTCTTAAGGTGTGAAGAAGTACACAATACATCGTGTAACTGTCCAGACGTCTGGTGTCTCAGGTCATGGACAAATCCTTGGGGTCATCAAGGGCAGGTTCCAGATGAGGTCCACACACATTCCATTTCAGAACTGTCTGATAAGCTTGGTAAAGACAGAATCTAAGGTTGGAGCCCTGAGACCTCATCACTCAGACTCACCCCAGCAATAGGGACAGTCTGTAAAGTTGAGAACCAATGCTCAGTAAATCGAATCCTGCTGGGGTGGAAGTTCTTCTCTGTGTTTCTTTGTTCATTCTTTCTTCCATTCTCCTCACATAATCATGTGTTTCTGTCTATTGCTACATTGTTACCTATAAATACTCTCCAGTCTGACTGTTTCTACCCATGCAGTCTCTCCAAACAGCTATTTTTCCGCTACAACCAGTGTTGTTTATAACCCTCAGTTATGTCCAGCACACAGTATCTGGGATTCTCTACTGTCATGAAGACATCGGAGGAGGGAAGCTGCCCACTGACTCTTCTTTCCGCTTGGATCCTCTACTTGTCTAAGGGTCAGGTCTAAGCAATGACACTTTTTACTAAGCAGTCTCATGACTGATCCAGGCTAAGTAAAATATATAATCTTTTTAAAAGTTTTACCATGGTCAACTTGAGATTGCCAGTAACTTCTTTCTTCGAAGGTCGGTTCCTTGTCAGGATCAAAAATAAGGAAGTCAGTCTTGGTGCCACCAAATCTCAAGTATGCAGGAGATAAGCCTCTAGCCAGAGCTCGGAGCCGTGGAGAGCTGTTACAAGACAGGCAAGGAAGTATAATAATAATTAATATTATTTTAGGGTTTTTTGAGACATTTTAATATGTAGTCTAGGCTTGCCTCAAACTTGTGATCTCTGTGCCTCTGTGCCCAGAATGCTAGGATACAGACATGCAACACTGTTGTGGCTTGTAATTATTTTCTGAGAAAGCTAAACATTTAGTTAACACATTTCAGTTAAACTTTTTCATTTCTTTCTCTCTTGGTGGACCTATTCCTTAACTCCTAGCTGCTATCTGCCTCTATGGGATAAGGAGAGGTGAGAAGTTCAAGACACAGGAATAAAGATCCAGGGATTAACCAGATTAGAGGAGTCAGGGTGAGTTTGGGGACGGCACCTTGGAAGACGGTACTGTCATTTGCTGAGATGATGAACATGTCCCTGGTCATAGATTAGAAGGGCAGGAGGAAGAAAGCAGCAAAAGCATCTATAGAAATTGAGATGCTTTTAGAATTGATTGTGGTGGCTATTCTTTCAGTGGCAACTTGCCTGTGTTTATAATCACCTTGGAAACACACCTCTAGGAATGCCTACGAGTATATTTACAGACAAGTTTAACAGAGGGGGTAAGATCTACCCTAAATTTTGTTGACACCACCTCATGAGTTGGAGTCTCAAACTGAATAAAAAGAAGACAATGAATGGTATCTCTTTGCTGCCCATGCAGATGCCATGTGACCAGAGGCCTGCAGCTCTGTGATGTCCCTGGTGTGATGAACAATGTGTTGAACCAAGTCTTTCCATCCTTAGGTTGCTCTTGCCAGACATTCTGTGACTGAGGTTCGCAAAACTAGCTAATACATAAATAGACACCAAACTCACAGAGCCACAGGCCACATGTGACTGGAACTCAAGAAATGTACCTAGGCTGGGGACGTATCCTGTAGACTCCTCGATATGAAGTCAAGGATCACTCACTCACACCTAGACTGAAGACTTGATGTCTTCTAGGAACAATTCCACAGCCACTACACTTGGCAGGGACCCAGGACCCCTGCCCCCTTAGCCCCTCTATTCTAATCCCTCTAGGGTATTCCTAGCCCTGCCAATGTTATCCACATCACCCCTACTCCAAAGCCATCCTGGCCAACCCAAGATACATGCCTCTGCCCACCTTCCATGGACCCAGATCCCAATCCCTACTTAAGAGATCTCCAGAGTGAGTCTCCTTCCCCCGAGGACATCCTACCACCCACTCTAACCCTTTTCACCCATCTGAGACAGCTCGGAGTATAAACCCAGAGTCCTCAACTATACAGCTTCAGATCTGGGACCAGTTAGAGTCTGAACACAGAAACCCAGAGTAGCCTCAGACTAAAAACCAAGTATCATTCTGCTGGTCCACAAACATTCACATTGGAGTAAACAGCAACCAAAGCACCGAACAAAGGTGAGACCAGACATCTACATGAAGAAGCATGCTGTAACTTGGATGCCTAGGTCCCAGAGCAAAACCACAAAAAACAAGACAACACTCCTCCTCCAGAAACCATCACGCTACTATGTTACGCCCTGAGCAAAACAACGTAGCTGAAGTATAAGACAAGTATTTAAATGTAGCAATTATGGATGTGTTCAAGGGTCTTAAAGAAGGTAGAAATGAATTTCTCAGTGAAGACGAAACATAGTTACACAACCCAGGAGCCCCAATACACAGCCTTATAGCTCATGGGAAGGTCCTCTTCTGAGAGTCACCCACCATCCACTGACTGTGGCCAGGCATTGGTTCTGGTCCTCGGCATTTTGACTTTGATGACAGAGATCCATTTAGGTTTATGTACCTACTATCTATAAGGTGTATACCTACTATCCGTAATTGAGACAACGCAGCAGATTGGCGTCCTTTGGGACCTGGAGGGAAAAGGAGCTGTAGCATCCAATGATGGGCTGGGTCAGATGCACACAGAACCAAACCTGGTCCCCTGAGATATGGACTACAGTGTCATGGATCACCCTCCCTCAACCCAACCTGCCGTATGTCCTGCAGAGGGTTTCCCACTCTCTGAAATCGGCTTCCCCACATATCTCATTGGTCTGCCTGTCCCAGCTGCTGCCCTTATGCTGATCCCTGAGGACAGGAATCTTGCCTGGTCTATCAGATTCTCCTCAGTGCCTAGGGAGTGGCACACAGCAGTGCTTAGCCAATATCCATGAAGTGAATGAACAAGGAAGCCAGCCTGAGAAAAGGGCAAGGGAAGGCCAGCCAATGACCCAATGATGGTTTTTGAAAAGATGACATTAAAACTCATTGCTATGGCCATTGCCACACAAAGCAAGTCATGCCACTCAGAGTTTTGCTAAAAAGGATCTCTTGTTCGTCCCATTTTCTGTAAAGTGTCTTTTGTGGCTTCAGAGTATAATATTAATACCTTCTGAAGGAAATCAACAACAACAACAACAACAACAAAAACCCCAGATTTAACACAGCTGCAAAACTTGCCATAAAAACAAAATTGATCAAAGGCACAGTATTTCAATCGTATGCAGGAAAAAGAAAAGGAAACACCACGGTGTCATGGAAATAATAAAGGAATGTGTGAGGCAGCTGCAGCTGTTCTCTTTCCAGAGGAGGCTGTCAAGAAACACACACACACACCACCGCTACCACCACCACCACCACACCAGTGTGCAGGTGTTTTATTTTACTGTTAGGGCAAAATTGCATTGTTTCTCTCTGACACAGAAGCAGAGGTGGTTTATTTTTATGCACCAAATGCTATATTTCCATTTCCAGACTTAAGGACCACCCCAAGATTCCAAAGTGTGTGGGGGGCAGGGGAGGGCGGGGAATGGGATTGGATTAAGTGACAGGTGGCATTCCAGAAAGAGCAATGAGGCAGAAGCAGAGGTTATTATCACCAAAGGGGTTGGGTGATAAATCAAAATATTCAAATATGGAAAAAGAAGAACAGAGACAGGTACTCAGAGATGGGCTTTTAACAAGGCAGGCGCGCTGAGATTTACTTTTGCTATAACATGAAGGAGATAAGAAGGTGTGGAGTTGTGGCTCCAAGAGCAAGAAGTTAGAATTTCAAGTTTTCACAGACAGAAATGATGTTAATAAAGACGAAGAATCAAGACCTGGTCATAGACGTGGTCATGACACTTCCAGGTTGACATGGAGGAGAGCAGTGGGTGTGTGTTCACAACCGTCAGGGAAAAAAGCACCTTGGTTCTCAGTGCTTGCTAATTTCCATGGTGTAAATATTCTCCTGTGGCTGTTTTCAGGGTATCAGTGTGATGACACAGAATGTGGCCTTGAGAAGAAATGCTCACATTTGACGGAATGATACAAACTGGTCCAACACTGAGTAGCAATTATCTGAGGGACAAGGATAAAGAAATTGAGAGATTCGTTTTTTTGGGTAAGCTTGATGGAGACTAGGGTTGAACGGGGGCTGGAGGGGACCTCACACGGGTGTCTGGAAGCAGGCACAGGCATGGAGGGTGAGCGTGCACAACTTGTACTGCACAGGCTGTGGGGGAGAGAGGCCTCCAGGAAATGACTTGTATTAGCTGGGGAGTGGGGGTGAAGGAACACACCATGAAAATGACAGCAGGTCACCAAGTTCAAGGCTCTAGGGTGTAGTGAAATGGCTTAGGAGGGAAGGGGACACCAAGTGGCCAGTTAGGGACAGGGCGTCTCAGGGACGTCTCAGAGCCTGTGGTTGTTCTCAGTTCTTTGTCTCTCTCCAGTCAGACTTCTTTCTCTCAGTAGTAGACAGGGGAACTGTGGCCCTTCCCAGCGTGGGTCTGGTGGTTTGGGTAAGAAATGTCCTACATAGGCCCTGTGCTGGCTGGTTTTATGTCAACTTGACACAAGCTAGAGTCATCAGAGAGGAAGGAGCCTCAGTTGAGGAAATGCCTCCATGAGACACAGCTGTAAGACATTTTCTCAATTAATAATCAATGGGGGAGGGCCCAGCCCACTGTGAATGGTGCCAGTCCTGGGCAGCAGTACCCCTCCATGGCTCCTATTCCAGCTCCTGGCTCCAGGCTCCTGCCCTGATCCTTCGATAATGAGCAGCAGTATGAAGTATAAGCTGAAGAAACCCTTTCCTCCTCAGCTTGCTTCTTGGTCATGGTGTTTCATCACAGCAACAGAAAACCCGACTAAGACAGGCACACTTATTTGATCCCGTGGTCCCCAGGCAGTCGTGGTGTTTGAGGAGGATTAGGGGATAAGGCTTTGCTAGAGGAAGCCACTAGGGGTGGACTTTGAGAGCTTCCAGCCCCAGCCAACTTCCAGAAGGTCTTTGCTTTGTGTAGACTCCCTGGCCTGGCTATCTGCTGCCCTTCCTCCTCACCGGACTCTCTCTGAAACATAAGCCCAAGTAAATGTTCTTCCTTACGTTGCCTTTGGTTGTGGTGTTTTATCACAGCGACAAAAAAAGTAATCAGTAAAATGAGTTATTAAATCATGCACTTCATATTGGTGCTCCTCATACGGGATGCAGCTGTCAATGATGACATGGGAATTTAACTATTAAAATTATAATGGAATGGCAAAAAAATGTTTTCCTGAGGAAAAAGAAGCAGATCGGGCATACAAAGCAAGCAAAGGCTGCGTTTTTTCTCTTTGTCATCCAATGCCTCTTTTGTCCTGAAGAACTTACAGTTTCTACCATTCCTCACCATTACATTCTGTCACCCGAAACAACGTCATATCCGAATGAGGAAGTCATGGCCGTGTGTGTATGTCCCTTACTTCAGATAGAGCGGCGCTCTCGGCCATAGCAGCTGCGCACGTGAAGTGTAGTAGGGCTGAACCGAGAACTGACAAGCGAAACCCACAGGATTTTAAATATATCATTCTAGAAATGGAATGGGAGCTGTCTCATACTGCTTTGATAGCAGGCTGCGGATGCCGTTCTGTGGCCAAACAGGCTGTTCAGTGTGTGGGACTCTGAACTCAGGCTCCAGCGCCGCCAAACCTTAGTGTTCACACACTACTCTTTACTGTTTCTGTTTCCGTTTTGCTGTTTTGCTTCTTGAGACGGGGATGGGGTGGGGGTGGGGCTTACTATGTAGCCCAGGCTAGCCTTGAATGTGTGATCCTTTTGTCTCTAAGTGCTAGGATTAAATTATAGCTAGTGGGCTAGCCTTGAATGTGTGATCCTTTTGTCTCTAAGTGCTAGGATTAAATTATAGCTAGTGGCCATGTTTGGCCTTTCTGCCTTTTGTAAAATGTATCTACCAAAAAGTTTTAAAATTACATTTGTGTCTGGCATAGGTGGCTCACATCCCAAGTCTGCTTCACCATGTGTCTAGGCCTGGGTCTCCTCCGTATTCTGCACTAATCCAGGCTGAGGATATATTTTGACTAATTTCCCCAGGGAAGAGAAATTTAACAGATGTTCCTTTTTCAATTCTAGAGTCTTCTATGATTAACATTTAAATTTCAAATATTGTCAGTTCTATGGTTACAAATGTGAGAGAGACCTGTTTCCATTCATCCAGTGCTTGTAACAAACTCATACCACCCGAATTCATCTGGTAAAACCTCGTTGGTGGCACATCAGAGGCCTGGGCCCCAAGTCTCCTATCTGAATGTTAATGGAAGTTGTTTCTTTAATCAGTCTATCAATTAGTTTCTAGACAATCTTATTTTAAAAACATATTCTGCCCTATTTCCTTTAAAAATAATAATTAGCTTGTTTTCTTTTTGTATGCCTTTGTTTTTGTGATCAGAGTCTGGATTCAAATACTACTTCTATTTGCTAGCTGATTGACTATGATCTCAGTTTCTTCATTGTTACCTCTCAGATGCTGGGATCAAAAGTGTTCTCCATCACAACTGGCCTTCACATTTCTTTCTTTCTTTTAAGATAAAGTCTGATGTAGCTCAGGCTGGCCTTGCTATGTAGCCAAGGATGGCCTTGAACTTCTGGTCCTCACCCCTGTGGCTCCAGAGTGCTGGGACAGAGGTCATGAGCTACCACGTCTAGTTTTACAAAATGTTGAGGATTGAACCCAGGATTTTGTGTGTGTTAGGCAAGAAGAAACAATTAGCTTAAACTTCAAGCTTTGTAGGAAGCAGCTACTATCTCATCAAACTATCGCAGAAATCCAAGGAGTCGGATTTGAGAAAACAAGGTGGTTAGACTACCAGACCCTTAGCTATGGGAATCTGCGTGCGATCGGCCGGCAGTGACACCTGTGGGCTTGGGACATGCAATCGACCTTTGACAATGGTGACAAAATGGGCTGGTGAAGATGTAGTCAGCTGAGTGTGGTGGTCCTCAAGAGGCAGGGAGATCGAGAGTTCAAGGCCAGCCTGTGATAGTGGTTACACAATATCAGAACAACAAAGGATGTAGTCATCTCTGGCGGTTCCCAGGTTCAGATGGCCTGTGACTGTGCCTGAGTCTTTTATCTTGGGGACAGTCTGCACTCAGGGAGCAGGGGCCATAGATGTGGTTTCTGCAGCTGATGAAGCAGCTGCCAGTCTGCACCCTCATCTTGGGGAAACATGCTTTTAAAGAGTTTTTTATTAGCATATATTATTAATTATACATAATAAAGGGGTTTCATCACGACACTTTCAAATGTGCATAAAATGTATTTTGATCATATTCTCCCCTGTTGCCCTCCCCTGTCCTTTCCACTGGCCCCTTTCATTTTCCTAATTAGTCAGTCTCTCTCTCCTCCACTCCCATTCGGTCCAGGCTGGACTCACATTGCTATGTTGCCAAAGATCGCCTTTAACTCCTCCCCCACTTCCCAAGAGCTGGATTGCAGGTGTGTGCCCATGCCCGGGATCACACAGCACTGGGGAAGGAACCCAGGGTTCCTGCATTTGAGGCACACAGTCTATTAACTGTCTCACACCCAGCCCAGTAATATTTAAATGCTTAAAAGGCAGCAAGATGAACAGCGGTTGTTCTCCACAGAGGCTTTTTCTATCTGGCTTTTCTTTCTTCCTCTTTTAAATCAAAACTTCCTAACAGTTTAAAGAACATCAGTTTTCTGGTCCTACACTGAAGCAAAATTCAAAGGCACCAGATGAGGTGACAGCTTGGTTTGTTTTTGTTTTTTTCCTCCAAATGTCCTCTTAATACCTGGGCCTGGCTGGTGCCCAGGAAACAGGCGCTGAGTAAATGAATCAGGAAAAAGCTTTTGAGGGGTGGCTGCACATGGGAGGGAGGTTCCAAAGAGCAAACACAAAGTTGTTTGAGCAAAGAGACTGGCTGGCCCTCGCGAGTATGATTGGACAGACGAGGGAACCGGACCTGGGGGCTGCACTTACCCCAGGAAGGTGAGGAACCGCGGGTCGGTGGCCAGGCTGGCATCGATGGTGATGGACAGGAACGAGGGACTCACGTTTTGGAGCAGCCGCTTGGTATAAAACTCCAAGTCTACCACGTCCTGGGTCGGCGCGGTCCCCTCCGGAGCGCCCTGGGCCAGGGCACCGAGCGGCCCCCAAAGCCCCAGCAGCAGCAGCCGCAGCATCCCAGCTGGCTGGACCGCCCGCTGCCGGGAGAGCTGGGGCTGCCGGCGCGCTGGCTCAAGCACCCTGCACCCGGTTCTGCTTCGCCTCTGGCGCCAGGGCTCGGTACCCTCCCACAGAGCTCCATCCCTCCCACCCCTCCCCTCCCCTGAGTCCCTCCCTAGCGCCCTCTTCTCTCCGCCCTCCCCTCCGTGCTCTCTTTCATTTCCGTGCTGGCTTCACCCTCCTCCGCGGTCACGTCCACTTTTAAAATCATCCACACCCATCCAAAGGGTGCGGAGGTGGCCAGAATCCAAGATCCCCAGAGGCCTGGGTAGGGAAAGCCCGGGGCCCACCCTGGGGTGGGACCAGCTTCCTGGTGTCCTGCGCACTCTGTCACCTTTTCTAGGTCCCGTCCACTTGGCGTCAGGACTAGATCCTGAATTAAAAGTCCCGGTTGAGGGTTCGGCCAGCCCCTACTCCAGCTCCCTTCTGCCTTAAGACACTGGTCACTTGAGCCTGTCAAAATCTGACCGAGCTAGGATGTCCTCTGCCCAGAATCTGCTTCTCAGGTATCCCTTTGTCGCTTGAAAAACCTGATCCTAGTACTGGCTAAAATGCACCTAGAAACTGTCCTAAAACAAAACAAAAAAACAATCTGTTTTTCAAACAACTTATGAAAACAATACTTGGGAGAGCCTAAGAGTTATTAGATGTCTCCGGGCACGTTGCTAATGCAGGGGCTGGGACACACACAGGAAGTCCAGGCAGGACTGGCTCATGATGACTTCTCCGCTAGGTCTCAGTTCTGGCACCAGACTCTAAGTTGCTTTGTCCTATCGTGCCAGAGAAGATGATAGAGACACACAGCAGAGAAATTGTCACCTCAGACACTTTATAATAGGACTGTGGAGTATTTGTAGCAAGGTACAATTTCACCTGGATTTTGATAAAGTCCTTTGTTTGCACTCAGTAGGGTTTGAAGCCTTGGAGCCGTTGTTAATTGGTTGGTTGGTTGGTTGGTTGGTTGGTTGGTTGGTTGGTTGGTTGGTTGGTTGGTTTTTCAAGTGTAACCCTGACTGTCCTGGAACTCACTCTGTAAGTCCAGGCCAGGCATATCCCACCACCTGACACTTATTTTTGCTTTTGAGAAATAGTCTCACTGTGCTATCCTGGTTGGCCTGAAGACTCACAGATCTGCCTGCCTCTGCCACCTGAGTTCTGGGACTCAGGGAGAGCTCTGCTTTGCTCTGCTCCGCCTTAGACAAGGTTTTTAATTTTGAAGAGCTTCAAGTTCATTTGACAGATGGAGGTACTCAGGCATAGTTCAAAGTTCTGCTTTCTTTTTAGTGATTTTCCTCTCTCTGTCCAGGAGTGCTGAGATTATAGAAGCATGCCCGCCAAATGTGTTGGGCAGGTGGGAGTGCTGGCCTGGGAGAGGTCAGCCTCACCTGATGATGTATTTAGTCTGGGCTCTCTACTATGTTCTGGACTTTTGGTTCATGGTCAATTAGCTTTAGATAGACATGAGTGATAAACTAAATGTGCAGGGTCCTGGGTTTGATTCATGGTAGGTGGAGTGGGAAGAGAGAGAGAGGGAGAGAGAGAGAGAGAGAGAGAGAGAGAGAGAGAGAGAGAGAGAGAGAGAGAGAGAGGAGAGAGCGAGCTTGTGTGTGTTATTTTGGGGGGAAGGTTTCAAATAGTGAAGGGTGAATATGAGGGCATGAGGAAATGGATGGAACTAGACACCTAATATGAAACTTATAAAGAATCCACAAAACTTTTAGAAAGAAAGAAAGAAAGAAAGAAAGAGAGAAAGAGAGAGAGAGGGAAGGAGGAAGGGAGGGAGGGAGGGAGGGAAGGAAAGAAGAAAGGAAGGAAAGAAGGAAGGGAGGGATAAAGGAAATGAAGGCATCTATTTTGAAGATGGGCAAAAAGATTTTCTGGTTTGTTTGTTTCAAATTCTGAGTTACCTGAGGAGAGGCCTGTGCCCTAAACAGTCCATATGATGGAACTCACTTAGTCTGTGTCTCAATTATAGTTTCTGTTGCTGTGACAAAACCGCATAACCCAAAAAACCAGTTGGGGAGAAAAGGGTTTATTCGGCTTACACCTCACCAAAGGAATTCAGGTCATGATCTCACATAAGGCAGGAACCTGGAGGCAGGAGCTGATGCAGAGGCCGTGGAGCGGTGCTGCTTACTGTCTTGCTCACATGGATTGCTCAGCCTGCTTTCTTATAGGACCCAGGGATGGCACCACCCACCACTGGCTGGGCCTTCTGAACTTGATCACTAATTGAGAAAATGTCTTACAGCTGGATCTCATGGAGGCTTCTCCTCAACTAGGCTCCTTCCTCTCTAATGACTCTAGCGTGTATAAAGTTGACTCACAAAACCAGCAAGTACAACTGGCTCTTGTCAGCTTGACACACAAACACCTCACTCTTCAGCCACAAGCCTTCCTTTCTTATTCATCCCCAAGATCTCACATTAAAAACAGTCTTTGGGCTGGAGAGACGGCTCAGCGGTTAAGAGCACTGACTGCTCTTCTAGAGGTCATGAGTTCAAATCCCAGCAACCACATGGTGGCTCACAACCATCTGTAATGAGATCTGATGCCCTCATATGGGTGTCTGAAGACAGCTACAGTGTACTTACATATAATAAATAAATAAATAAATCTTAAAAAAAAGTTAAAAAAACAAAAAACAAAAAACAAAAAAACAGTCTTTATAAATTAAAGCATATTAAAACATAAGTCCCTTTAAAATAGCCAATCTCTTTTAAAATTCAAAGTCTCTCTATTGTGGGCTCCCATAAAAATATTTCTTTCTTCAAGAGGGAAAAATCAGGGCAGAGTCACAATTAAATCAAAGCAAAAGCACACTCCAACAGTCCAGTGTCTGGGATCCACTCATGATCTTCTGGACAACTCCAAAGGACTTGGGTCACTTCTCTGACTCTGCCCTCTGTAGAACAGACAACTAGTCTTCCAGGCTCTGGCTGGCTCCACTCCACTGCTGCTGCTGTCCTGTGGTGGCCATCCCATGGAACTGGTATCTCTAATACGCTAAGGTCTTCTGCTGCAACTGGGCTACACTTTCACCCATAGCCTCTTGTAGGCTCTCTTTACAGTGCCAATCCTCAACTTCGTTGCATGACCCATCATTGCCGGGCCTTCAACTGTCACTGAGGCTGCACCTTCGCTAATGGCCTCTCCTGGCCTCTCACAGGGCCAAGCCTCAGCTGCCCTCCATGGTCCTTTTACGCCTTCACAACCAGTCCACCTGGGTGTCTCTGACACATGACCAAGTCTGGCAGCCGACACTAGGTACAACTGTGGCCGCCTCTGGAACACAGCTCCTCTGTGCTCTCAGGAAACAACTTCCCAGAAGACTTCACCTCAGGGATGCTGGTCTCTTCTTAATCCCTGCTAATTTCTTAGCTCCAGCTGATGAGCATCAAGTATCCAAGCAAAGCCAGGTTTCACTTTCGTAGTTCTGGTATCTTGTTAGTCACAGCTAACCAGAACCACAGAATCTTAATTCAAAATAACAAATGGTCCTGGGAGAGTTCTCGAGCTTCCCTCTGGAACTACACAAACCAGATTTTGCACTTATCTCAACATTCTCATCTTCTAAGCTTCCACAGGACATCCCTCTGAGCTCTCAACACTCAATGTCTCTTCTACCTCAAATTTCCAAAGTTCTTCCACAGTCCTCCATTAAAATATGGTCAGGTCTGTCACAGCAATACCCCACTCCTGGTACCAAGTTGCTTTTGGTCATGGTGTTTGGATACAGCCATAGAAACTCTAAGACACCCTGTGACTGAGGTCTTGTACTGACTGATGTTTGCATTGCAGGTTTGCCTGGAGTGAATGCTGGAGTGGTCACTGAGTGGTTAGGTGACTGCATACGTGTTACAGATACTACTGTGGTTTTACTGTGTACCACGAAAGCTTAGGATGATGAATTATTTATTTATTTATTTATTTATTTATTTATTTATTTATCTATTTATTATTTTGAGACAGGATCTCACTGTGTAGCTTTGGATGTCCTAGAACTCACTGTGTAGACCAGGCTGGCAGATTACAGAAATTCACCTGCCTCTGCCTCCTGAGTGCTGGGATCAAAAGTGTTCACCATCACACCTCATATGAAGTTTAACTTTTTAAATTATTTGTGTGTATGTGTGTGTAAGAGAGAGGGAAAGAGAGAGAGGGGGAGAGAGAGAGAGAGAGAGAGAGAGAGAGAGAGAGAGAGAGAGCATGACTGCCTCCCACCTTGTAGGACTGTTGACATTATAGACATGTGGTCCTCACACCTGGTTTTACCTGAGTTCTGGAGATCTGACGTTTGACCTCTGACCTCATTCTTGAGTGGTGAGTACTTTACCCGCTGAGTTACTCCCAGTCCTGCTGAAGCTCCCTGGCCATTTGAACATTATGAAGAGGTAGGATCTGTAAGAGATGGCTGTGCAGGACCAAGGAGATAGTTCCAGTGTGAGAATCTGAACTCACATTACAAAAGCCAAAGTGCAAGCCCCAGCATTCAGGAGGCAGAGACAGATGGATCTTTGTGAGTTTAAGGCCAGCCTGGTCTACAGAGTGAGTTCCAGGACAGCAGGGACTACACAGAGAAACCCTGTCATAAAATAAGATAAGATAAAATTAAATTAAATTAAATTAAATTGCATGGCAAGATGGGAAGACGGCTTGTTGGCCAAACTACCTTAGAGTACTTGGGAAAGTTCCAGCCTGGTAAGAATTCTTGCCTCAGAACAAGACAAACAAAGTATAAATAGAAGGTTCTTGAGGTATGGCACTGGAGGTTATCTTCTGACCTATGCACACAACTGCTCATGAGTGCACTTGCACATATGTGTCCATACATGCACAAAACACGCAGGGACGTATTGGTGACATTACAGGAGTTTAATATGCTGGCAATGGAGTCTGTATAAAGGGACCCCGCCCCTGCTTGAACTGTGACCCCGCCCCTGCTTGAACTGTGACCCTGCCCCTGCTTGAA